TTGTCTCCTGGTCTGCCCTTTGGGGACAACCTTGATGACTATTGGGAGATTGTGAGAATAATGGCTGACTTCTAGTAGAAGTCTTCCTGGAAGATATGTCCTGAAGTTTCTCCTCTGTMGCTTCTCTTCCGTTTGGCCCAATTTTCTTATGCATGGCTGAATTGTCAGTACAAAAGCTGACAAGGGTGTGATAAGCTACCAGAACATGGTGTTAAAATAAATGCTGCTGCTGGAAGTAAGAGTTTGGGGAAATGGGGTTAGTTCTCATCAGTTGTCTCAGCCCGGGATTCCTTTCTCCCTTACCCTGGCAATCTCTGGAGGTCATGTTGCACAGTGGTTATGAGGGCACACCCTGGGGTTTACAGGTTAGTACTTGTGAGATCCCAGGAGAATGACTTCATCTTTCTGTGCCTCAATTTCCTCATTTGTAAAGTACAGGAAATAATAGTATTTACTTCATGAGAAGAAGGCAGTTCCAAGGAGTCACAGAGTCAGTCATTCTAAAAAAGCATTTATYACTGGCCACAATAAGTGCTCTGTAATTTGATTCGAGTAACAAATTAATGTTCACGTTCATTACTCATATTATTATTAATGATATTTATTAACATCAATGAAGATTATCATTAATCAATATGTTGTTATAAATATTTACTCATTTTTGTTTCTTGCATATTCTCCATTCCCTCCCCACACTGATCCTTAGCTCCCATGACAGAAACTCCAGAATTRAATGGAACACGTGCCCTTGTGTCTCTTTAGAACCTGGTTTCCCAGTGAGTGTGAAAGTCTTTGTTGTTGTCACTGTTGTTATCACAAAAAGAAAGTGCARGGCGAGGTCAGWGGTGGARAGCTTGTACTCTGGCAGGCCTTATGCATGGTGGCTGAGGACTGAGGGGGGACAACTCCTGGTTTCCTATTAGGACMTGTACCTCACTAACTTGTTCTTTGACYTTTCTTTACATGAGTTTCYATATATGTAAAAACACTAGCAGTGYYRTTTGGGGTTAARTGAGATAGTATGAKTAAGCTCTTACATACATGTGGTAAGAAGTCTGTTAGTCCTTTGCATTTTCAAAGATGAACCTGGAAAACAGAAGGTAAATACATCCCAGTTCCATTATCTTTGTAAATGATGYCTGTGAACAGTTTCTCTCCAGTTGCTCCAGGCCTCCATTCTGTAAGTCCTAATTTCACACGTGCACAGTGGAGTGTGATAATGGTCCATGCGCTCATAAAGTTTTACTTATTATTTCTTTTTTTGCTACCCAGGATTGAACCCAGGGTCCCTAAAACGCTGAGCCACATCCTCAGCCCTTTTTATTTTGAGACAGTCTCCCTAAGATCCTTAGGGTCTTCCTAAGTTGCTGAGGCTGACCTAGAACTTGTCATCCTCCTGCCTCAGCGTCCRGAGCTACTGGCATTACAGGGATAGAGCTCTGCTTTTAGGCTGAAAATATTTGCCAGCACTAGGACAGTGACAAGTACAGAGGAGAATGTTCTGCCCTGTTCTCATTTATCAAAACGCTGAGGACATGGTTTTGCTTCTAATGTGCTTTAGAAACAGTGGTTGCTTTCTGGAGAAAGACAACACCCGAACGTGGAGAGCCCAGATATCAGGCACCTCAAATCACCTACGTACCAAACTCAGCCAGGGAACGTTTCTTGTGAGTGAACARAGTTATTAGAACAAGATMRGGTTGTCCTTGCCTATGSATTCCCTAGAATTAGTAGGTGAAYATAAAATYATTTGGTTTGTGATGGGYTAGGTTTAAAGAGCTCTTGTGTTCCTGGAATTGATGAGGAGAGGCTAAAAAAACAAAACCCCCAAATCCCAGAGACAATAAGACTCAGAGTAAGTGAACAACTTCCTTCCTAGTGTGTGTGTGTATGTGTGTTATGCATAACAAACATATACACACACAAACATACATGCTCAGATATACATACAAATGTATGTGCACACACAAACATATGCACAAACACATGTGCACACACAAAAACATACATATACACAAGCATTTACATTTGCACTTATATAAATTAATATTGTCATGCAAACATATATATACAAACTTGCATGTTTATGTACACTTTTACATGCATGTTTTATGCATACAGTTGGTCTTTACTGTCCATGGGGAGTGGTTCCAGGACAASTTGAGAATACCAGAATCCATAACCCTCAAGTCCCCCATATAAAATGGCACTGTCTTTGCATGAACCTATGATGCTCTCTCATATACTTTAAATCATCTCTAGATTACTTACAACACTTAACACCATGGAAATGCTATGTAAACACTTGTTATAATGTATCATTTAATAGGGAACAAGGACAAGAAGTCTGTACATGTTCCGTTTGGATGCAGTTTATATACTTTCAAGCTGTGGTTGTCTGAACTCAGACACAGATCTCACAATACAGAGAACTGACTATATGTTTAAAAAACAGAAAATAGTGGACTTTTTTTTTTTTTAAATTGCACATAGCTATCTGAGTTAGAGGGAATCTGKACTAAATAGCAGCTCACATGGAAAGGGAATGTCCTTGTTGTGGAGTTAACAATCCAAATTTGCTCCCAAAGACTGAAGGACTGAAATGAGGGACATGGTGTTTTCACTCTTTCTTCCCARTTTAGAAGCATTTGGAAAATTTTGTGCTGAGTTCCTGGAAACCGTGTTTTAAAATAAGCTTGTGTCCAGAACATCATGAGAAGGTGATGGTACCTTGTGAAATAATGAATGTTTTTAAGAAACCAGAATGTTGAAGCAAAAAAATGAAAAGACTTTGGATTCTGGAAAGATATATGATAGTTATGTTCAAATGTTTGAACGACAGTTACATCAATGTGGAATCCTCCAGTACACAGAAATTTATGGCAGACCTTGAATAAGTGTAAAAAGAAAGAACCTGTAATGTAGAGTTGTCATAAAACAAAAGTGCTGTCTTAGGAACCAACGAATTTTCTGTCTCTGGAAGTGTTCCCAGGAGGGCTGGGTTGTTGGAGAGATGATTCYTTCCTGGTGCAGGATTTGGGGCTAGTTATACACAAAGTTCCTTTCCAAATCCAAGGTTTGTCTGGCCAGTTTCCTCATTCTGTTAATAGTCAGCTGTATCCYCTTTTTCTCTGCTTCCTCCTTACTTTGAATTCTATTTTTTTTTTTTTTAAGAATGCTATTTCAAGCTGGGCACAGTGGCACATGCCTGTAATCCCATCAGCTTGGGAGGCTGAGGCAGGAGGATCGTGAGTTCAAAGCCAGCCTCAGCAACAGTTAGGCGCTAAGCAACCCAGTGAGACCCTGTCTCTAAATAAAATACAAAATAGGGCTGAGTTCAACCCCTGGCACCCCACCCTCTYAAATGCTATTTCATTATCTAAATGCACCATATTTTATGCATCTATTTACCTATGCAARGCGTTCATGGTTGCTTCCAAATTTTGCCAGTTATGAATAAAGCAATTGTAAACAACTGTGTGCAAGTTCTRTAAGACTTCAGTTCATTGGAGTAAATGTCAAGAAGCATGGTTATTGGATGAATTGGTGTTTAGTTTTATAAGAAACTGTCAAACTGTCCTCAAAAGGCTGCACCTTTTTAGCATTCCTTCCAGCAGTGAATGAGAGTTCCTGTTGTTCCACATCCTCCCCAGCATTGGGTTCTGTCAGTGTTTCGGATTTTAGCCRATTTAGGAGACATGTAGTGGGCTAACTGTGTTTTATCCTATTCAGATCTATTGTCTCCAAATCACCTAATCCCTGTGAGAAATACATTTAACGTTACGATTAATGAAATATAATACTACTATTACTAGCCAGAATCYAGATAAAAGACTTGGGAAACAATAGAATAAGTACTTATGTTAATGCTAATACTGCTAATAATAAAAGTGCAGATTTATTTGTGAGTGCTTTTTGAGTTTATTATGAAAATAAATGCCAGCAGGACATAAGGCATATTTCTGATTAATGTGTACGAGCAGTTATACACAAATGTGTTATTGGCACGTGGCAGGGGTCCCCAGGAGGTGCCTAGTCCTGACTAAGACTGAGGAGGTTGGTAAACAAAGCAAAGGTAAACAGAGCACTCTTGGAGAACAGAGTGGGCAGGGCTCTGAAGTAGCTCCAGGCCCTGTCTACAGAGTGGAGCTTACATTATTGAGCTGTGCTAGTTCTTCCCAGGGTGGATTTGGGGTTGATTGACACCTTGATTGACAGCTGAACCTGCCATAATTTCTTTTCCACTGTGCATGCAAAAGGCCCCCTCCCCAATGCACAGAGGGGGAGCAAACTGCAATCCTGATAATATGTTAACTAGCAACTAGTTAACTTTAGGTCCCTCCCTCAGGCTATTGTTCATGCCCAAGATCAAGATCTGGGACTTTCCCTTCAAGGTCTTGAACTCCCCTCCTGGTGGTCTAGCTTCCTTCCTTTAACCACAAGATGGCCCAGCTTCCCCTCACCACAGGGCCTTCAGGCAGAGTGTTAGGTGGGTGGTAACCTCTCTCTCACTTTTCTATCCTTTCCCCATGCCCTGTCTCCTACCTAACAAAAGCATAGAGAGACATTGGCCATCATCGTATAATAGTTTTCTCAAGAACTACTTTGCTTTTTGAGCAATGACTGCTGATTCTGGCTTATTTTTTAATTTTTAAAAAATTTTACATATTTAATGGGCATAATTTAATGATTTCATGTACCTGTGCCTTGTGAAATAATAACCATAATCAAGACAAGGAATATAACCATCTTTTCAGATAAGAGCTATCTACCCTCTTAGTACACAATATTGWTCCCTATAGACACATCRTACATGAGACCCCCAGAACYTACTCATCTTGCATRAMTGAAACRTGCTCCTGGACACACGTCCCCTCATTCTCCCCTCCTCCAGCCCCTGGCATTCACACTTCTGTGAATGGCCTGTCTTGGATTCCACGTGTAATCGCGCTCATGCAGTGTTTCTCTGGGTTGAGATTTTTCCAATGTCTTTGTTTCAGATTTTTCAAGTTGCCTATGTCATCATTAAAGCCGCCAATGCCCCCAGACCTGGAAACTGGATTTTGGAGCGCTCTCTGGATGGCACCACGTTCAGCCCCTGGCAGTATTACGCAGTCAGTGACACGGAGTGTTTGACMCGCTACAACATAACTCCAAGACGGGGGCCGCCCACTTACAGAGCCGACGACGAAGTCATCTGCACCTCCTATTATTCCAGACTGATACCACTGGATCATGGCGAGGTACCGTGCCCACAGTGGTGACAGCTTTTCCTCCTCAGAGACTCCTGCCTCGAATGCTGAAAGAGCCCTCATAGGAGCAGATATCGAACACACAAGATAGATTGCTCTCAATACAAAGACCTTCACTACAGCTACCTACTTCTATTTAAAGTAGCCCTGAATGCTGCCTAATATGATTAATTTCACTGCAGATAATTTTGCCCCATTGATTTCTTCCCTTCATGGAGGTCCCGCATTTTTTACTCTGTTGTAATGGAGTAAGTCCATCAGTTCCTCCTTCAGAGCATCTTTCCATAACACCAGAATGAGAACGTTTGTTGAAATATTAAAACGACAGCCAAAATGCTTCTAAAAGATGTAGTTCCTAATTTTCTCTGTGTAGCTCTGTTTGGAGGGATTTGGACTGGGAGATGCCCATAAAATGTCACAGCTCCATGCTCAGCACGCCCAGGTGGCCCACACTTCATTAAAGTCAGAGTGTAATGAAAGCAGCACATTCTTCAGTAGCACCTGGCTTGATGAGATAAAACTACAAAAACCTCTCTGAAGTGCTCTTCACAGCAGGGACTCCATAGAAAGCCCTGCATTGTTTCAAGAGCAGAGATTAATTAAGAGAGCAGGTTATGATTATGGCTTTTGGCACCCTTTTCTTGCTCTCCCCAACCTCTTCATGGATTTTAGAATTTGTTTCTGAGAAGCCATAGCTTAATAATAGATGTTTAAAATATCCTTACCATGCAGGGAGAGGTGCCCGGTTAAAGATCCCCAGCAACCTCAGACTCGCGAATGGATAACTCTCGTAAATTGAAGATGTGATGTGGATCACGGTGATTCAAGTGTAGTTAACACACGTTAGATTTTGACAAGAGTTTGATTGTTTGGGTTTGATTTTAGATAGTATCTTGGTAAAGATTATATCCTGAAATTAAGGGCYATATTTTTGCCATGCTTAAAAATGGCATTTGTTTGTTTTTCTTCTTCATGTTTTAGATTCATACGTCACTCATCAATGGCAGACCAAGTGCTGACGATCCTTCCCCCAGGTTGTTGGAATTTACCTCTGCACGATATATCCGCCTTCGATTACAACGCATCAGGACACTCAATGCTGATCTGATGACCCTTAGCCACCGGGAACCCAAAGACCTTGACCCTATTGTTACAAGACGAGTGAGTAYATGGTGCCCCCTCACCACCTTTGTTATAAGTTTGTTTGGTTTCAGGGAGATTCTCTTTTCTTCTTTTCAGTTTGGTTGACCTCCCAGGTTGGCTCTCTTTCTTCCCAGGTGTTATATCCTTATTTTATCAAATGTCATCTGATATMCTTTAATACAAATGCTGCCTTTACATGGTAGCCCTGATATCCTGTCCTACCCCCTCACCCTCCAAAAGAACCTGCTAAGATTTTCACTGGAATTCCATTGATTCTTTTTTTTTTTAAGGCATTTGTTCAATTGACTCTTTTAAAAATACCTTTATTTTATTTATTTATTTATTCTTATGTGGTGCTAAGGAAGATTGAACCTAGTACCTTACCCATGCTAGGCAAGTACCGTACCCCTGAGCCTCAATCCTAGCCCCCATTGATTCTTTGTGTCCATTTAAGATGAATTTTGGAAGACCTCTAAACAATATTGAATCATCCAGTTCATGAACATGCTGTGTCTCCTCACTTATCTAGATCTTCTTTAATTCCTCTTGGAAATATCTTATGGTTTTTTGGTAAAGCTCTTGTTCAATAATGCAAGAAAAATAAATCAAAGGCATACAGAGAGCACAGTAAGAATGAAGCACCACTTGTAGATGACATGATTGTATGCATAGAAAATCTGAAACAACTAGTAAATATAAGTTAATTTAACAGTGTTACAATGTACAAAATAAAAAATGTGGAATATATACTCAATGGAATATTACTCAGCTTTTAAAAAAAGAGTAAAATTATGGCATTTGCCCATAAATGGTTGGAGTTGGGAAATAAGATGCTAAGCAAAATAAGCCAATCCCACAAAACCAAAGGCCAAATGTTTTCTCTAATATTTGGACACTAATTCACAATAAGGCAGTAGGGGGGCACTATGGAAGAACAGGGTTACCTTAGATTAGGTAGAGTGAAGTGTTGGGAGGGAAGAAGAAGAGATGTGGGGAGAGGAAAGATAGTAGAATGAAACAGACATTATTACTGTATGTATATATTTGTGTGTGTGTGTGTGTGTGTGTGTGTGTGTGGGTGTATGACTGCCTGACCAATATGATTCTGCAACATGTACACTCAGAAAAATGAGACATTATATCCCATCTATGTATGATATATWAAAGTGCATAAATGTATTCTACTGTCATGTATAACTAATTAAAACAAATTTAAAAATTTTAAAAATGAATCACATTTATATATATAGTAATGAATAATGGAAAATGAAATCCCAAAAGATATTTATTAACATATACAAATCTACAAAGTGGTGAGAACTAATCTTAAGACAAAAACACTATTTTGTTAATGAGGCTATTTATATCTACTGATTTTGTGTATTGAACTAACTGCATTGGAGGATAAATCTTCTTTGCTGGTGATGTGTTATCTTTTTAATGTAGTACTAAATTCAATTGCCCAGTATTTTTTAGGTGTTTTGGCAGGTAGGGTTTGAAGAAGACCTCTTTGGTTTAAGATGCAGCCAAGCTGGAAAATTCTTTTAGACTCAGGTTTAATAGATGAGTTGATTTGAGCATTATTGATTTTAATTGAGCACCAACATTCATCATGCGTGAAATATAATTTGAAATGGACATATACTTTTAGATTACTGATAATACACTACCTGACAGATTTGTGGAGTGCCAGTGTTTTCTTTTCACTGAAATAAAAAGGTTTTAATTTCTGTATGTAACATTTCTTTTTCTTAGTATTACTATTCAATAAAGGACATTTCTGTTGGAGGGATGTGCATTTGCTCCGGCCATGCTAGCAACTGCCCATGGGATGAAACTACAAAGGTAAGTTCTAGTATTTGATGATTTACTGCAACTTCAGCGTAGAAGTTGTAACTGTAATATTTTCAGTATTCTTTTGCATTCAAGGCAAATGTTGAAAGTTATAAACTCATGTAGCAAAAGAGTAAAAATATTTTCATAAAATTTTACTGTTTTAATTTTTAATGTTTTTATTAGTGTATTATATTTATATATAATAATGAGGTCCTTTTGACATAATTATGCATGCATGGAATATAATTTGCTCCATTTCTGGACCCAGTAGTAGTTCTTTTCTTCTCCTCCTCCCTAACCTTGCTCCCCTTCCTCTGCTGTACCGATTTTCTATTTACTTACTGTTTTTTTAACTGGACACTATGAATGCAGTTCTAAGAGGAAAGTATACAGCATTGAGTGCCTACATTAAAAATATATATATATATATATCACAAATAAAAAATATAATGTCAAACCTCAAGGCTCTAGAGAAAGAAAAACAAACCAATCCCAAATCACTAGAAGACAGAAAATAATTGAGATCAGAGATGAATTTAATGAAATTGAAAATTAAAAAAAACAATAAAAAGGATCAATGCAACAATCGCTGACTTTGTGAAAAGATTAACAAGATTGATAAATATTTAGTCAAACCAACCGAAAGCTAGAGAAGACCCTAACCAACAAAATTAGAGATGAAAGGGAAATATCACCAACACAAGGACTTCTGCAATCCAGAGGATCATTAGTAACTATTTTGAAAATTTATTCTACAATAACCTGGAAAATCTAGAAGACATTGACAGATTTCTGCATGCATATGACCTGGCCAAATTGAACTATAAGTATAAACAGACCATTATCAAGCAATGAGATTGAGGCAGCAATTAAAAGCCTTTCAAGGAAGGAAAGCCCAGAACCAGATGGATTCTCRGTTGAGTTTTACCAGACCTTTACAGAAGAGCTAACACCAGTCATTCTCATTTATTTCATGAAAAAGAAAAGAGGGAACACTCCCAGATMCTTTCTATACAGCCAGTAAAACCCTGATATCAAAACCAGATAAAGATGCACTATGGTTTAATTTTTTAAACAATTTCATAATTTTGCTTTATTTGGAGGATATATTTCTAATTAAGTCCTTCTTGTGGTTTTCTGCATGTGTGGTAAGGTATACATAACGTAAAATTTACCACAGTAAGGTGAACAAGTCAGAAGTCTTCTGAATTTTGAAACTCTTCTCTCTAGGAGAGAATTGAGCAAAAACATGTGCAGTTATAATTTATGCTGAACATTTTAAAAAATATTGCCTTCTCATTTTCTCCATTTTCATGTTTGTGGTATTGAATCAGAATAGAATAAAGTTTGTTTTAGCACAATATTAAGTGAATTCAAACCACTTACAAGAGTTACTTTTTATTTTCCTTATCTTTTCTCTGTAGTTTTGTACCTCTGGAATAGGATTATTCTTTTGTTGTTATTGTTGTTTGTTTTTGTCTTTTGGGTTTTGTTGTTGTTGTTGTTGTTGTTGTTGTTGTTTGTTTTTGCAGTGCTAGGGGTTGAATGCAGGGCCTCCCACATGCTAGACAAGCACTTTACCACTGAGCCACACCCTCATTCCAGATTGTATTATTTTGATGCTAAAAAAAATCTGTAAATGAATGTCAGAAGATTATTAATGAAAAGTCTTCTAATAATTAAGACAATTATTATTACTAAAAACTTCCAAATCCTTAAAAGTCAATGCATCTTTGAAAAAAACGTTTTTGTTAGCCAGCCCTTCTTTGAGAGTTGCTTTTATCTTCCTCCCTTCTCTTTGCAACCAGACTATCTGTATATATCCTTTTAGAAAAGTTACCTCCCAGTTTGTTTGATATGGGTGAATGTCCTTCCATTGTGACATCTTTCCACTTATTTGTGGTAGGTTCTCTCCTTAAATACAATTAAGAAAAATACACAGGTGAAGTTTTCTGATCCGGTTTCGCATCCCTTTTTGTGTAGAAACTGCAGTGTCTGTGTGAACATAATACTTGTGGAGAGAGCTGTAACATGTGCTGTCCTGGGTACCACCAGCAGCCTTGGAGGCCTGGGACCATATCCTCTGGTAACACATGTGAACGTAAGTACGCTATTTGAAGAACGTGGTTTTTCTCCTCTTATTATAACTACACTTTCGTCATCTTAACTTTTGCAATGAGTAGGTAACTTGTTTTCACAGAAAGTCAAATAGTGCCCAAAGTTCTAGATTATCTTGAAAAAGTTTAAACTATTAAGGACTAAATGTATCTTTATGGATTTGCTATTTTCTCAAAGGTCCCCTTCCCATACATCCATTTATTCTTTATTATCTTGGATTTAACTTTTAAATAAACAATATATTCACAAGATTCCAACATCTAATAATATAAAGAAGTTTGGGGTAAAAGCTTTCCTTTTACTTCATTTCCATCCTTCTCACTTTTTATTATTTCCCATTATGTTCTTATTAAAATTTTTGTGCAAATAAGCATGCATTAGCACAGTGCTACTCCCAACATATGTTCTTACACAGAAGAAGACATAATATTCATACCATGGCTTATTTGTTGTTGTTTGTTTGTTTGTTTTTGGACCTCGGGATTAAACCCAGGGCCTTGCACATGCTAAGCAAGTACTCTGCCACTGAGCTGCCCATTACTTCTTAATATTTAACAATGTATCTTTAAATTCTTTCCATGTTAGCAATTTAATGCTGCTTTGAAAAAAAAAAAGTGGCACAGAATTCCATTCTATGGGTATAATAAATAATTTATTTAAATGGATATCTATCAATGACTGTTTCAATTGTCTCTAGTCTGTTGTTATCACAAACGATTATGCAGTGATTCCCATACATTTTATTCACATTGTGTACAAAGATTCTGCAAAGTATCATCCCAGAAGATGAATTGCTGTGTCAAATGGGCACTCGCTTTGATTATCTTGATAGCTCTTCCTAGTTATCATACATAATATTGCCTATATCTTATTAAAATTGCTTAYTCTAGAATTTTAATTGCATTGATAGTCATATAGACTTACTTAGAGAAATAAGGGCCTGCTTTCTATAAGACATCCTATGTGTATTAATTAATATATTAAAATATTCTCTAGAATGTAATTGTCACAATAAAGCCAAAGACTGTTACTATGATGAAAATGTCGCCAATCAGAAGAGAAGCTTGAATACAGCTGGGCAGTTCAGAGGAGGTGGGGTTTGCATTAATTGCCTGCAGAACACCATGGGAATCAATTGTGAAACCTGCGTGGATGGATATTATAGACCACATAAAGTAAGTACATGTCTCTCCCATGGCTGAGCATCATTGCCTTCCCAAAGTAGAAAAAAGAGACTTCACAAAGTTGCAACCTATACAACGGAGACAATTCTCAACCTCTATGTTGGAGACTCCTTTCCTTTTGTAATGCTTGATTTATATTGTTGTGCTAATAATGTTCTTCTAATTTATATTTTCTACTCTGCCCTGTTTACTAGATAAGTAGGATGTTCACATGTTGTTATTTAACTTGAGGTCAAGGGCCTATTATCTTTGTGATCTTGGGTTATCTAACTGGGAACGTGGAGATTCTGCCACTAACCAGAGGCTGAATATTGTTTATAGGATGTAGTCATTCCTCAGCTGACTTGATACACAGTTGTGACAGTGTCCCTGGGGTGTTATCCCTTCCTCCTTCTCCCTGTGCCCCCTTATAACAGTATTATCTTGGCATTAATAATATTGTTCATATGATTGCTAATATTGTTGTCATTTCCGGTAAAATAATCCAGGACAACTTYTGCCTTTCAGGTTTCTCCTTATGAGGATGAACCTTGCCGTCCCTGTGTCTGTGACCCTGTGGGGTCCCTCAGTGCCATCTGTGTTAAGGATGATCTCCATTCTGACTTAAATAAGGGTAAATGCTTGATTCATTTTTTGTGCTTACAATTGCTTTTTTTTTTTTTTCGTGGAAGATTGTACCTGTTAGAACCATTATCACTGTGTTGGATGGTAGGATTCTTTATTAATTCTTTGGTTCACTAAATATTTATAAAGCACCTACTATGTGTCAGGGAGTTTTCTAGATCTTTCTGATATATATTTGAATAGATGGCCAAGGTCCCTCCTCAAAGGAAACACTAAACAATCACATGGATACTATAATACCAGGGAGAGTGCTGAGGACCTAAAGCCAAACTGAGACTCATAATTGGTTGGAGAGCGGGTGTGGAGGTGACACTGTCGGGGTGATGAAATGACATTTGAGCAGATAATTGAGCATTTGATGAAAAAATAAGTATGGCTCAGTTAAAGCCATCTATTGAACACAGTAAATAGCAGTTGCTCTATTTAGCTCCTAGAATTGCTCAGAGGACTTCTGCATACATCATCTCACCAAGCAAGTAAATCCTCCAGTTAACTTTGTAAATGTCAGTGTTCTTTCCCTTTCAAAATTTGGTAAGTGCACTTGCAAATATCAGAGTCTCCTGAATAGGTTGCATCTGTTTGAAGACTTCTGTGACCCCATCAAATTCTCGGCCACTGGCAGTAAAAGCAGCTGTTGACCAGCAGGCATAGAGGTGCAGCTGTGGGGCCTAGCAGGAGTGTGCAGGGTAAATTGTGTGACTGATTCCTACACCCTGATGAAAGGGTGATGATAGTGACCCTGCGGGTGGGCCACTGATCTACTTTATCTAGGTACATTTGCTTATTCTGGAATTTCATGTAAATGGAACACAATATGTGGGGTTTTTGTGTGATGGGCTTCTTTCACATAATATATTTTCAAGGGTTATCCCTGTTGTAGCATACATCAATATTTCATTCCTTTTTATTGCTGAATAATATTCCATAGGATGAATATATCACATTATATCCACGTATCACCTGATAAATATTTGAGTTATTCTTACTTTTGGCTATTATGAATAATGCTACGATGAACATTCATGTTTAAGGTTTTGGGGGGAATGTTTGAGTGTTTACTTAGGAGTGAAATGGCCATATCATTTGGTAACTCTGGGTATAACATTTTGAAGAAGTATTAAACTGTGTTTCAAAGTTGTTGTACTATTTTACATTGACTCCAGTCTCTGTGAGTTTCCCCTCTGTTTTCTTTATTTAAAACAGGAGTTGGCAAACTATGGCCCAAGGTCTAAATCTGCACGCTGCCTGTTTTTAAGAATAATCTTTATTAGAATAGAATGGCAGCCATTGGCTCATACATCGTCTGTAACTGTGGTCCAGCAGTAATGGCTGAGTTGAGCAGTTCAACAGATTCCGTGGCTAGAAAGCCTTAAATGTACATTCTCTGGCCCTTTACAGAAAAAGTTTGCCAACCCTAGCTTTAAACTTCTTTTATTTCCGTGTGTTGCTTTCTCCCCAGGGAAGTGGCCGGGTCAGTGTCCGTGTAAGGAAGGTTATGCAGGAGAAAAATGTGATCGCTGCCAGTTTGGCTACAAGGGTTACCCGAACTGTGTGCCCTGTGACTGCAATCTAGCTGGCAGTGTGAAYGACGATCCGTGCACAGACCCGTGTCTTTGTAAGGTAAGCAAGGAGGTCAAAGTGGCCCTGGGTTTCTWCTGTGCCTCTCTGGAAAAGGAGCATCTTCTACTGGCTCACAGTTCTCAGACAAAGCAGTTCAATTTCAGCAGAAACTCTCATCCCTGCCCAGAAGCATGATATGTCACAGCAAGTTGGTTCTGTTGTGTCCTTGGACTTAGATGAATACTTGGATTTCATTTTTTTATTTTATTTTTCTGGGCAATGGCCATGTATTCCAGAGGCATTTTCTGTGACTTTCTAGGTGAAACCCAACACCGMGTCTCATTTATTTGGCCTTGACTGAATTCTTCCTTGACATTCTTTTCTAGCTTTCTATTTAGGGGAGAATCAGGTAAACACTAAGTTCCCACAATCTCTAATGAAATGCAGGTTTTTAATCTTGGATTTTTCTTTAAAAAAAAAAAAGAACTGTATAATCATAACAAATACGTTCATATGGTACCCGTGAGGAGTTTTATTTGACCATACGATATTAATAGCAGTTTCCCTGGAATTCTAAGGATTTCCTGTTGTACCTTTTGTGTTTATTCTCACGAAAGCACAGTCTCAGGCATATGTTATATATGATCAAAAATAACCTCGAGTATTTATGTGTAGTACCAACAATTAGACAACCCTCCTCCGATTTTAAAATGTTCATATAAGCAGCAACAATGGAAGAGATAAAACAAAACAATTCATTTACATATGATGACTAAGCTTCCATATTTATATATAATCTCCAGCCTTGTTCTTGGCTATGAAATTAAATAATAATTAATTCAAACTATTTTTTTTTTKGAAATAACAACTTCATGAGACTTTTTTTTTTAAAAAAAATATTTATTTACCTGCTTCTGTGGGCTACCAACCCTCCCTCCTTGTTAATATCCTGTCAATGTCATTTTCTTCTGTCTGGATTCATTGGCTTCACCTGGAAATTTTTTATTGTAACTTGCAGGAAAATGTCGAGGGGAAGAATTGTGACCGCTGCAAACCAGGCTTCTATAACTTGAAGGAAAGAAATCCCCAGGGCTGCTCTGAGTGCTTCTGCTTTGGTGTCTCCGATGTCTGCGACAGCCTTTCTTGGCCCATTGGTCAGGTGGGAGGCCTGGGGTATAAGCTGGATTTAATCAGTGGGTGGTCATGTGAGCTCCCTACCACTTTGTCAGCAAGCTATGGGCTGATTTTCCCTGAAATACCACTCTTGTGCATTTGGAACAACACCATTAAGGGTCAAAAGGCAGTTGATTCCTGAAAGGGTCCCTAAATTTCCTGTGTTTGTTTCCACACACATTTCCCTATCAACATAAGATAGATATTATAGAATACACTCTGTTTCCGTTTCTTCCATGGGGAATACATTAAGTGAGGAGGTCAGATCTCACTCTGTGTGTTTTAGGCGGCTTTTTCACTGCTATGATTAAAAGATCTGACCAGAAAATCACAGAGGAGGAAAAGTTTATTTGAGGGCTCTTGGTTTCAGAGGTCTTAGTTCATAGAAGACCAGCTCCATTCCTTGGGGCTTGAGGTGAGGCAGAACATCATGGCAGAAGAGTGTGGCAGAGGGAAGCAGCTCACATGTTGATCAGGAAGCAGAGAGACAGATCTCCACTCCCCAGATACAAATATATACCCCCAAACCACACCCACAATGCCCCACCTCCTCCAGCCTCACCCCACCTGCCTCCAGTTACTACTCAGTTAATGCCATTAGGGATTAATTCACTGATAAGTTTAAGGCTCTTGCAACCTAATCATTTCCCCTCTGAACCCTCTCTCTTTGTCTCAYATGTGAGCTTTTGGGAGACACCTCACATCCAAATCGGAACCCACTACCTGCCCCCACTGGCACATCTAGGGTCATGAGAATTTTACAATTCAAAGAAGCTAGGGGCAGGAAGCACTCCAGTGGATGGGTGGGAGCAACAGCAGGTGGCTCAGGCTTTATTAGGTGTGTTAGCTTTTTGTTGCTGTGACCAAAACACCTGACAAGAACAACTTAGAGGAGARTGGCTCATGGTTTCAGAGGATACTGCCATGGTCAGCTGGCTCTAAGGCAGAAACATGGTGGRAAGGCATGGCTGAAGAAGGCTGCTCTGTTCATTGCAGTCAGGTAGTAGAGAAGGGGTGAAAGGAGCCAGGGATGAGATATAGTCCCCAAGGGTACACYCCCAGTGACCTGCTTCCTMMAGTGATGTCCACCTGCCTACAGTTACTATCCAGGAGTCCATTTAGATTATTAATCCACTRAGTGGATTAATCCACTGATAAGGTTGCAGCCCTTCTGATCAAATCATTGCCTAAAAGCCCCACCTCTGAACCTTGCTGCATTAGGAATCATGCTTTCAACACAGGAGCCTTTGAGGGGATATTCCAGATCTAAACCATAACTCAGGGGCAGGCAGTCTGTTTTGAGAAGGGGAAATTCTAGGGGGATGAGTTTGAGGCAAGTGTSAAATGGTGACTAGGGAGGGAGATGGTGTAATGACTAGAGATTGAGGAGGAGATGCGGGGCATATGGCTTATCAACTCATAACTGTGGCCACCAGGCTGSGGGAAAATGACCAACATCTTTATGTAGGTGATAAATTGAGAGTATATAATCTATAGTATATATATAAAAAATACACACACACACACATATGGTTAGCATTTGGGTAAAAAGCAGAGGACAATAAAGAAGGGGGAGTCAGAGTTAGTAAAAGACATTAATCCTTGCATTTCCAGGTCAAGTAGCCCTTATCTGAAATGTTGGGGAGCAGGATTGTTTTGGAATTTGGATTTCATATTTTTTCAGATTTTGGAATATTTGTACACACATAACAAGATATCTTGCAGATGGGATCTAAGTCTAAACATGACATTCCTTTATGTTTCATATACACCTTATGCGATGGGATCCAAGTCTAAACATGATATTCCTTTATGTTTCATATACACCTTATGCACATTACCTTCAGGCATTTTTATAATATATTTAGTGCACCTGCAATTTGACTGTGACCCACTGCATGAGATCAGTGGCATCATGTAGTTGTTCATGAAGTTTTGGATTTRGTAGCAGAATTTCAGAATTCTGGATTAGGAATGCTCAACCTCTATTCTTTATAGTTTTTTTTTTTAAATCTAAAATATATGTTCATGGCCTCTATGGCTTTACTCCTTTACTTATAATTTATCTGGATTAGTGGTGCGTTATGACTTGTTCTCAGGTAGTCTTAGTCCTTTGACAAGTGGAAATAYCACATGTTCTGTGGTCCATTTGTAGCAGTTGTGTTAACCTCATCCCTAACTAAACTTTCTGGGTTTGTCTCTTCATTGTGAAAATATTTACGCTAGATTGCATGAGGTATAAAGTTCATTCTATATCATATACCAAAATTATTTTTTCTTTCTTTTTTTTTCCCCCTAGGTGAAKGATATGTCCGGGTGGCTGGTCACTGACTTGGTCAGTCCAAATAAGATCCATTCTCAGCAAGAGGCRTTGGGTGGGCGCCATCAGATCAGCATCAACAACACCCTGGTCATGCAGAGACTGACTTCTAAGTACTACTGGTCGGCCCCTGAGGCCTACCTTGGAAATAAGGTATGTGTGCTTAGATGAAGATCTCRGAGGCCATTAAGAAAAGACTTCTGGTTTTCATTATAAGTAATTTTGTTGGTGAGTTGAACTTTGAAAAGGCATCTCACAGCCTTTAATTTACATTGGATACACAAGATTTTTTGATCCTTTTGACTTTTTAGTCACACCGTTCCAATAAGAGTGTCTGGTTTTCTTGGGGCAGCTCCTAAGCAGTCTGTGTTGTGGGAAGTCTCATCCTCTTATTGATGACGAATCTTCTACTTTCCACCTCTGGGTCCCCATCACTTGGGCTTCTCAAAATGCTGATCACATTCCGACTTTCTTCAGTGAGCAGTGAACCCAGATTAATGCCCCATGGCTTCCTGGAGGGCCTAGCTTCGTGGAGGGCCTGGGGCATGGGAAACACCCAAGAAAGTTTCCCGCAGTGAGACTTTGGCTCTGCTTCCTCTATTTAGGTACCAGGACAAGCTGTTGCTCATGTAAAGTGCATAGATAGGAACAGACAGAATACTTTCTGTTTTAATTTTAAGTAAGTGTAAAAGATCTACAGTGTTAGAAGTTTGTTTCTAAGATTGAGCCTCCCTTCAATGACCTGTTCCCAGTCTCTCTCTCCAATTAATCATGCCCTTTCTCTCAAGAGCCTGATTGTTTGGAAAATACATTTGAAGGAGTGTATTTGAGCACCTATAGTTCCTTGCTCACTTGGGGATTGGGTTCATTTTAGGGTATCCTTTTATAGTAGCGTAATCTCATAGYTTAGGGAGTTTCTAGTTAATTTGATGATTAAATTTCCTAACTTAGTTTAAAGGGGTATTTTTGAAGATGATTATTTTTGCCACCCAATTATAACTGTAGAATATGTCTTCTATTTTTAATAGGATCTTATCACCAAAACTCACTGAAATTTTTTCTTTTGAAATCACTTGTCCAATTTTATGATTGCAAAATTGGATTCCGAACATTCTTTTGTTGCGACACATCCATCAGGAAGAAAATTCTACATTAAAGGAGATCTGATGAGGAAGAAATACTTGTAGTCTTTCCTTCAAGTAGAAGATCCAACATGTTATTTGCTGCAGCAGGACAATGAAAAACAAATTGTCAGGAGTCAAACTTCCTACTCTCTATATTATTTAAGTAAAATAAATGTCTATTGTGTGATTAACGGGATTATATAGACCTCAGAGTCTCTTAGTAGAACATTTTTGTTTTGGAATTCGGCAATATCCTCCAGTCTTGGTAATATCAATCAAAATACTCATTGAGTATGTTTACACTGCCTTTAATGTGAACTTGCTTACATATGGTGGCCACTGGAATGCCTTGCAGTCTAGTTCTTTCCAGATGGATCCTAGCTACCCCTTCTTCCTCCTTGGGGCTGTGGTTGATTCTCTTTGATGTTCACACTCATTTGACCATTCCAGCTGACCTCTTTTGGTGGGTTCCTGAAATACACAGTGTCATACGATATTCCAGTGGAGACAGTGGACAGTGACCTCATGTCTCATGCGGATATCATCATCAAGGTGAGACTGTTTTGTTTTGCTTTTGCATACAGCTTAGGAATTAGTGGGGTGATSGTTGGCTGACTGAAAATGGCTAGGCCAAGTGGTTCCTGTTGGGAGACTGTGGCGGGGTGACTTGTCTACACACTGCCCAGATTGTGCCCGTGACAATCTAACTGGAGGCCCTGTCTGGGGTTCTTTGCATACCCATCCTTTCATGTTTAAAAAGGAGATGTACTGGGCCTGATGGCACATGCCTACTACTAGTGACTCSGAAAGTTGAGGCCTGAGGATCCCAAGTTTGAGGCCAGCCTTGGCAAATTAGTTAACACTTTGTCTCAAATAAAAGAGTGCCTCTTTGAGGTTCAATCCCTATCCCTGCAACCAACCAATCAATCAATCAAGTAAAGATGAGCATTTGCTCTGACCTTGAAACTAGCCAGCCTTTTAAGGACTTTTTTTTTTCCCTCCTGCCACTTTGCCTCTTCGTAGGAACCTATTAGTCAGTGCCTGGCAGTGTGGGGACAGGAGACACACTGCCAGGTCCTCTCTCCCTCTCCCTGTATATCCTCATTCCTCACAAAAAGACCTAGTTTGGCTTTGCTCCAAGGTCGCTGGTATATTTGGGTTCTTGTTGCCAGTGTCCTTTGATCTTGAGTGACCTTTATCTCCATGTCCATCCTGAACAATTGGAAACTGGAAGGTAAATTACTGTTGTTTAAGGCAATTTTATGAGAAGTTGGAGGTATGTTTACTGTACATACTGTTTTCAACTTCTATTGTTTAAAGATTAGGAGTATCAGATGCAGGCTGCTTTGATGAAAACTGTGGGCAGATGCRTGACCTTGTTTCTTTTCCAAGATACCAACAAAGCACATGGTCTTTAGGTTTATCATTGGAATCCCTCTGAAAGAAATCCAGTTCAACACTTTTTCTCCAATAATTCTGGACTGAGAGTTATACACACCATCATGTKGTTTGCCACAAGAACCTAAGCCCAAATGAAATCCATATTGTTGGGTGCAAAATTTGATTTTATTTCTTGATTCTTAAATTGAATGACAAATATCTTTCCTTTTCTTTTTTAAAATGCTAGGGAAATGGAATCACTTTAAGCACACAGGCTGAGGGCCTATCACTGCAACCCTATGAAGAGTACTTCAATGTGGTTAGACTTGTGCCTGAGAATTTCCGAGACTTCCATAACAAAAAACAGATYGATCGTGACCAGCTAATGACCGTCCTGGCCAACATGACTCATCTCCTGATCAGAGCCAACTACAATTCTGCAAAAATGGCTCTTTACAGGTATATATTGAAATGAGAGGAAAGACTTACAGAAGAGATAGCTCTAGCTTGTCTTTATTTAATACTGTGTATTTCAAACTTAATATAGTTTACATCGCTTTTATTAAAAGAACTAGCTATAATAATTAAAATATATTTTTAATAATAATATATATATTTRTAWTAATATATAATTTATATTATAATAATTAAATTATTTTTATAAATGTAATTTATTGAAGATGTAAGACTAGTTATTCATGACAAAAGTTATCTACTAGAAAACAAATTTGACTTTAAATTCAGTAATTTGCAAAGTGTTTCCAAAAATTACTAATAGAGTTATCATTGTCCCAGACCTTGTTGCTTCTGGTTCTCTCTCTCCTGATRTTAATGATCTTAGTTTTGCAGTTATTTGTGCTAACAGTCATTTTATTACTTTGTGGAAGTCAGTTTCTGGCAATGCCTCATCAAACATAATAGTCAATGCTGCAAATGTAAGTGTAGTAGAGCTCATTGGAGTATAATCTCTGTGTTCATGATCAGATGGATGAGTAGATGAATYTTTGTCAAGTACAACATCATTTCTTCCCCACAGTGTTCTATGGGCAATTGCATATCTTTGCAACCAATATTGGAGACATATCCAGGGAATAATGACAGCTTCCAGAGAGTATATTATTGAAAGAATCTTTAGTTACTTACAAAATCACATGACCATTCTGTTTGAATTAAATCTTTTAGGGACTCATCTTCATTGAGGTGTAAGATGTCATTTGCAAGCATGTGAATCSTATAACGACCTCTTTGTGTTTGTAGGTTGGATTCTGTCTCTCTGGACACAGCAAGCCCTAATGCTATAGACCTGGCAGTAGCCACTGATGTGGAGCACTGTGAATGCCCGCCAGGCTACACAGGGACGTCCTGCGAGGTACCGCTCACCTCTCTTCCTGTTTTCTACTTTTTTGTTTTTTTCTAAGGGGAAAATAGTGCACTGAAGTTAATCTAATAATGCAAGTTTGAGTTTTAACTTTGGAAACCCAATGTTTGGTCCAGAGTTGATTGATTATAGGAATGGTGGAAGTCGTGTGGTTTAAAGAGATCCATGGCTCTGCTAGGGGTGGGCTCTGGGAYTCCTGGAAATGCCTGACTTCATGCAGCTCTCTTGCCTCAGTAGGAAGTTTGTCCTACCTATGCCAGATTTTATATTTCTGAGGAGGACTGAACTTGATCACTTGAATATTTATWATCACCTGTGCAAGACCAGGAAGGCTTTAGACAAGGCGGACCCATTTTGAGACCTTTGATGGTCCCTGACTATTTTACTTTAGTGGGCTTCACCTCAYATATGAAGTGTGCAGGTTCTATATCTGTGAATTGAATCAATCAGGGATTGCAATATACTCCAAGGAAGAAAATATTTCATCTGTACCAAAGTCTGTACAAATGTTTTTCTTGTCATTATTCCCTAAATAATACAMCTATTTATACCATTCACATTGTAAAGGGTATTACAAATAATCTAGAGATTTAAAGTACACAGGAGCTGGGTGCAGCGACACATACCTGTAAGCCCAGGAGCTTGGGAGACTGAGGCAGGAGTATTGCAAGTTCAAGGCCAGCATTAGCCTTAGYGAAGCCATAAGCAATTAAGTAAGATCCTGTCTCTAAATTGGGGATGTGGCTCAGTGGTTAAGTGCCCCTGGGTTCAATCCTAGTACCAAAAGAATTTTTAAAAAATAAGTATAAATGAGTAAATTATACAAGAGGATATGCATAGATTGTATGCAAATATTATGCCATTTTATAAAAGGGACTTTAATATGCAAAGATCTTGGCATCTGTGGGGATTTTGGAGCAAATCCTCATGAATACCAAAGAWAACTGTATATGAAAATACATTTGCAATCAGAAATAAAAGTATTAAAATTACTTGGATCCAAGTATTTATAACAACTCTCTCATACTGAGAACTTCCTGCATACTGGCAGTGTGCTAAGCTCTTTTCATGTCTTATCTATCTGAATCCTGACAGCACCCATGWGTGATAGGGACTTCAGATATTTTCTTTTCCAAACTGAGGCACAGTAACATTCAGTAACTTGACCATGGCCAAACAACTAGGAATGATCATATTTGGATTTGAGCTTCATCTACACTGTTCACCACCACTGTATGATCCTRCTTTCCACATGTTCATGACTGACAATTATGAACAATTGTGCTTGGCTTGATTTATTGGCGATCRTATTTACAAAGTGAGAATATTTAATTTATAATTAATCTCTATCAGTCACAAACTTTGTAGTTAATAAAGTTAGCCTAATGTCTCATGATGTAGATATTTAATTAAATAGTCCTATTTTAAATATTTTGCAGGGGTTTTTTGTTTGTTTGTGAAACCAAATTAATAGGATTATTTTTTTTAGGTTTGAAGCATGGGTTTTTAAGCCCAGCAATTATTTCCAGTTCCCAAGCATTGTGTGCATAATATTTAATGGATACATGATCCTAACTAAGGCCACCTGAGTCTATGGGCTGTGAAGTAGGAGAGCAAGGTCAGGCTATGGAGCAGGGAAACCCTGAAAGTAGAAGCCAGACCAGCTGAAGCAGGAGGGGGCAGCAGAGAGAAGCTTAATTTGTATAGTGGTGACTCTGTGTCTGAGAGTAGTGCTAGGAACCCCCCAGATCTCAAAATCTGCAGATGCTCAAGTCCATTCTATAAAATGGTATAGTTTGCAAATAACTTAGGCACACCCCCCTGCATACTTTGTCACCTCTAGATCTCTTATATTACCCAACACAATGWAAATGGTATATAAATAGTTGCTATACTACATTGTTTAGGGGATAATGACAAGAAAAAAAGGTCTGAACAGGTTCAGTACAAATGCATGTCTCCATTCCTTGGTTGGTTGAATTTGTGGATGTGGACCCTAAGGATATGGAGGGCCAACTTACACATTTGCAGGCTTTTTGTTAAGCAGAACTTATTCTTTAACCTMACTGTTAACTTGGAAGCTGCTTGGGCTAGGGATATAGCTCAGCTGGCTGGGTACAGTGGTGCATGCCTGTAATCCCAGAGGCTCCAGAGGCTGAGGCAGGAGGATCACAAGTTCAAAGCCAGCCTCAGCAAAAGCGAGGCACGAAGCAACTTAGTGAGACCCTATCTCCAAATAAAATACAAAATAGAGCTGGGGATATGGCCCTGTGGTCAATGTTCCTGAGTTCAATCCCTGCTACCAAAAAATAAAAGTAAAAAGAATCAGGCAGCTGTGGGTAGGGGATAGAATTCTCTACAGCACTGTAAGATCCCATGCAGACCTCTGGGGCAGTGCCCACCCAATGTCCACCTGCTCATGAGCCCCCTCTCTCTGAGGGGCACACAGTTGAGTGGTGTTAGGGGACTTTCACAATGCCTCATGTCTTTACAGACTTTTTTTTCTTTTTAGTACCAGTGATTGAACTCAGGGGCACTCAACCAGATTACTTTTGTAATAAAAAAAAAAAAAAAAAACTCCAAATTTTTCTTAACAAAATAAAAACTAATCCCAACTCTCCTTCCATTCACCCCATAGGAGGATGCTGATTTCTAAATTAATCATTCCCAAGTCTGCCCTCTAAAGGCATTTGTATCTGCTACAGCCCTTGGCAGTTGGCTGGGGACATGGCCAAGGAAGTGGCCTCACTTGGCTTTGAGTCACTCCTCCTGCGCACTGGGCACTATGCAAGTGTCTGTGTCCCATGCTCTGCATCTGTAGAGCCRAGATGCAGTCTCTCAGGGTTGTGATGAGTTAAATGAATTATTGTRTGTGGGTGTTCACTTACTCAGGTTRCCTCTCCAGGTTTAGCTCATGTAAAGAACACCTGTAATATTTGCTCAATTWAACTGCTGCTGTGTGACCCAGACCTGCCCTTGAACATATGCATTGTATGTTGGTAACCTTGAATGAATTATAAGACTAGGGGGAAAAAATAAAGTTGAGAGGAAAAAAATCTTTTTGATGGAAATGCTGGCTAGACAATGCTACATCATTTGCAGTTAAAGAATACTGCAAAGGCCAGGCACGACAGTGCACACCTGTAATCCCWGCAACTCAAGAGGCTGAGGCAGGGAGATTGCAAGTTCAAAGCCAGCTTTAGCAACTTAATGAGGCTCTAAGCAACTCAGAAAGATCCTGGCTCAAAAAAAATTAACTTTAAAAAAAAAAAAAGTGTACTGTATGCATGCCTGGGATGCCACAGAGTTGTATGTTGACCCATGACATAGCCAGTAAGTTTTTGTGAGCATGTTTTCACCTTTAAAATGAAACAAGGAACTGGAGTATAGTGCCTAAAAGTGGCCCAATTTGGTAAGTTTACTGAAAATTCCTGAATCGCACAATTAAAATGGGTAGATTTTTGTGGCATGTCAATGATATCTCAATGAAGATGTTTTAAAAGTAGAAAAAAAAAATGTTTCTGTGCACATGGAAAACTGAGCCGCTGATTTTTCAACTATGTGGGAAAGCAGATGATTCCTATAATGTGCAAAGCTGCATTCATGGACACAGGTGCCACCCTTCTTTTGCAGTCCTGCCTCTCTGGCTATTATCGAGTTGRTGGAATACTCTTTGGAGGAATCTGTCAGCCCTGTGAATGCCACGGCCACGCGTCGGAGTGTGATGTYCATGGAGTTTGCTTTGTGAGTTTATTTCTGAAACCTCCAGGTGTCCCCTCTTACCTGAYCCAGAACTTTGTGTGGTGTAGTGATTTTTAAAAATGCTTCCTTTACAGAATTGCCCAGATGCCAAAGRAAATCTGCAGATTTAAATTCATGTCTCAAAACATTTCCTACCTTTTTTTAACCTTAAAAAAAAAAAGTTACTTCAGTGAACAGGTTGAACATCCTTGTTCTAAAAATTTGAGCATTAGGAAATGCTCCAAAAATCTGAAACTTTTTGAGCAATGACATAAAGCCTCAAGTGGGAACTTCCACAACTGACCTTTTTAAGGAATCAGTCAAAATGCAGGCACACTAAAATTATCACATAGCATTACCTTCAGGCTGTGTGTTTAAGGTGTATAAGAAACTTGAACTAATTTCGTGTTTGGATTTGGTTCCCATCCTCAAGACACCACATTGTATATATGCAAATATTCCAAAATTCAAACCACTTTTGGTCCCAAGGAATACTTGCATTGAAAAAGGAATATGAAATATCTTTCCTTTTTTAGTATTAGAACAATGAAAAGTCATTACTTAGTAAAATTATAAAGCAATATAAAAACTGTCCACTGTTTAAATACAAAGGATTCGTATTTCAAACAGAAGTGCTAGTATTTTTAACATTACGTCACATAGTATACTACAAGAGGAATAATAAAACTTCTAATAATCACACCCATTTGTGCAATATATAATGCTTTACAATTACTTTGAATAAACTCTTCAAGTATCTCTTTCATAAGCACTATGAGTTGAAACAGGGCTTACCAAATATGTAGTTAATCTTGAGAATGAACTATTAGGGCAGATACAGGGTGAGACTTGCTTCTTAGCTTTAGTGAGGAATTCTTTTAGTCCCTTCTGCCTTGAAGCCAGGCCACCCTCTGGGTTCTAATGGACTCACTCCTCAGAGATGGAGTGATTGTGCGTGCCCATAGACTCTGCCCTATTCACRAGGCAGGAAACTCACGCTCTTTTGGAAAGAGATTGATTGAGTCCTAGTGCTAGGGAAAATTAATTACCAGAGCCCTAGAGAAGAGCTGAAACCCTGGTGCCCTGGATTGCTTATTCTCTYTCGAGACTCATTTTTCTGTCTTCTGTAAGGAAAGCCCCCATTTTGCTCTGTGTTCTTTTATCCATGTGGAATAAGGCGTCTGTAGGAATTACTTGAAGTGTGGCTTGCAGGCAGACTCCGTCCCTCTAGGATGGRTTCCTCAGGTGCACCAATTCCAGCAACTTGGGGAATGTTTGTGTTTTTTACTTMTCTACCTTTGCCTTTGGGTTTGCAAGGCCAGCTTCTCAAGCCTCCCGCCAGTGTTTCCCGATGGTCATCAAGTCGTGGAGGTACAGATAGTCACTTTAGGTACAGCTAGTAAAGTGTATCTTTCTCATGCTTTTGTAAATATGTTTCTAGAACTACATGCTAAATATATTAAATATGTACTAAATATACTCACTTTAAGTGAACAGTATATGTTTAGTATGTTTAATAGTAACTGCCCTTCAAGTTCTTCTTATGATAAACATAATGATGATTTTTAGAGTTTTAAGCATTTTGGAGGGAACAGTTTTAGATTTAGAGAAGAGCTGCAAGCATAAAATAGAATTCCCGGATGTCCTTTTCCCAACATCCCCTAGTGCTAACATCTTGTATAACCAGAGTAGTTATCAAAGCTGAGACCTTCACATGGGCACCATATGATCAGCTAAACCACACACTGCCTTCCTCCTTCACCAGTGTACCCAGTCCTCTCCTTTTCCTTTCTAGGAGCAAATCTAGGTCCCCACATGGCACTTTGTGTCCTTGTCGCCTTAGCCTCCTCTGTCTTTGTGACTCTGGTAACTTGAAGTGGGGTGGAGTGGGGTGGACATTCTGTGGAATGGCCTCAGCTAGGGCTTGCCTCTTGCTCTGCATTTTGGTCAGCTTTTTTTTGTTGTTGCTGTGACCGAAAGACAAGAGAAGAACGAATACAGGAAGAAATGTTTATGTGGGGGCTCATGGTTTCAGAGGTCTCTGYCCATAGATACTATGCYYCATTTGCTCTGGGCAAGAGGTGAGGCAGAACATCAAGGCAGAAGAGTATGGAGGAAGGCAGCTCAGTAGGCAGAACAGACAAAATATAAGCAACTTCAAGGTCAAGCCCCCAGCAACCTACCTCCTGGAACCACACCCCACCTGCCTACAGTTACCACCCAGTTAATCCCTATCAGGGAATTAATGCAGTGATCAGGTTAAGGTTTTCATAACCCAGTCACTTCACCTCTAAACTTTCTCTCTTTTTTGCACACATAGGCTTTGTGGGAACACCTCATATCTAATCTATAACACTTTGCTATGACTGGGTGGAGGTTTTACAGTTTTGACCAGAGGACATGGAGGTAATGTACCATGTCAGCCACAGGTACAGGGGCCTTCTTCTTGGGGCTGTTAGCTGTGTCCCCTCAGATAAAATGATATCTGCCAGGCTTTCCCACTCTTCAGTGGTAACTGAGAATTTACCACTTTTCCTTTYTAAACAATTAAATTTGATTTAATTTTTTTTTGAGGAGGGGGGAGTGGTGAAATAAGAAAAAAAATAGGTGGGAAATTAAGAATTTATTGATTTAATCTGATTTTGCTTTTTTTTTCCCCCTATTCTGTTTCGAAAAGAACTGCTTTCCCCAAAGAGAAAGAAGGCTCAATCTGGCCCTTTGATTAGGAGAGTTACAAGCATAAAACATTCAACAGACATATTAGAAATGAACATAAGCAAGCATTTTCAAAGGATTGCATTTATTTTTCATAATACTTTTAGCTTAACCAAATGGCCATTTATCAAAGCCCATTGCATTTTGAATATTTTTTTTAATGATTGAAACTGAGGTCACGTGGGTCTGTGATGTTGCAACATGGGCATCACCTGGGARCTTGTTAAAATGCAGGATCTCATACCCTACCCCCACCTCTGAGCTCCTGAATCAGAGTCTACAGGTAATCAGGTGACTTGTTGTTCACATTTGAGTTTAGAAGCTCTGCTCTGGGATAATCCTAAATAAAACAGGGATAAAATGATGTAATACCTGACATTTTTAGTACCAGTTTCAATTTGATATCTGGACATGCTTTTATACTCTCAAAAATTATATAAATATATGTACTTTATTTAAATTGCTGGATGGAAAATGACMAAAGTACCTAAAAAGGAGGAGCCATCAAGAAAAGAGGCGTGCAAATGGGGGTCTTGGAGCCAAGTGCAGGCAGGCTGAGAAGTGACCGAGYGAGCACGAGCAGCTGTCAGTACAGAATGGGGACCTGGGGAAACCAAGTCAAGATAAAGGAACCTGGGAAAACATGTGCAGAGGAGGGCTGAAATCCCTGTGAGCTGTGTGACTGCCTGGCCCATCTCTTTTTCTCTTGTCCTGTACACCTCCTGTCCCCAAGTGGAACGTTCCACACCATGAAACAAACTTTCATGCTCAAAGTTATTAAAAAGATTTTATAAACTTACCTCTAAGCTATGTGTATATGAAACAAATCCGTTTTGTGTTTGGACTTGGATCCCGTCCCAGAGATACCTCACTATGCTTATGCAAATGCATTATGTTTATGCAGACCCCAAATCCGAAAAAATAAAAAAAAAATCCAAAACACTCTGGTCACAAGTATTTTTGGTAGTACCCCAACCTTTTATCATCTTTCTGCAGCCTGAGGAACTGTTTTTATCATTTTTCTAATCAGGTGTGCTTGCTGACAATAATCTCTCTTGTTTGTCTGGAAAAGGCTTTTAAACATCTTTCAATTTTGAAATTTGTTTTTGCAGATTTGTCCTTGAGTATTCTGAAGTTGTTCTGTTGGCTTTGGCCTGTCTTGTCTCAAATGAGAAGTTGCTGTTCATTCCTGTGTATGTCAGGCAGTGTGTTGTTCTGTCTTTGCTTTTTCCCCTGCCTACCTTTAAGATTTTCTCTTCTTCCCTGGTTTTGAACCATTTGACTGTGTGCTTCTAACCCTTTTTCTTCTTGGAGGTTGTTGAGCTTCTAGAATTTGTGGGTTTGTATTGTCAGATTTTGAAAAATTGAGACTTCTCTSCTCCCCCTGTCCTGCTCTCCCACTGATGATCCCATTGCACATGATGTTGCTCCATGATGACTGAGGCTGGGTCCTTTCAGGTTATTTCCCACGGAGGGTTGGAGTTTCTAATGCTGTCTTCAGATGACTGTTCTTGTGCAGTTTCGAATCATTCAATCTTTCATTTTACAGACCCCAAATCCGTTATGGTCTTTTCTCAGTTCAGAAAGTTCCATTAGGTCCTATTTTCTGTCTTGCCTTTCTTTCTTTCTGTGTTTGTTTCCCTTTAAATCTTTGAAAATGTTATAACTTTAAAATTTTTTATCATAATATTATTACATATTTATGGCATACTTATGATAATTTGATACATGTAATAATGTTGGTGATCAAATTGGGGTAGTGAGCATTTTCATATGAAACATTTGCTATTTTTTATGTACTGGGAACCTTTGGACTCCTCAAGTTATTTTGAAATATATCATAGACTACAAGTAGGCTACTCTGCTATAAAACACCAAAAATAATGTCTCTGGCCTGATTTCATTACCTAACTGCTTTCTATCTTTCCTCCTCTTCCTGGTCTCTCATGACCACTCTGGTATTCTTTTATGAGATCGACATTTTTAGCATCCACACATGAGTGAGATTGTGTCTTATTTGTCTTTTTGTGCTTGGCTTATGAAAATCAACACAGTGTCCTCAAGTTAGCTCTTGAAATGCCTGCAGATTCCCTCAACTTTGCAATTTCTGGGTATATTTCTAATAATTCTTTTTTGTTATGGATTAGTGTTTCTAGTAGATTTTAGCTCAAAGATGTTGTCAAAATCTTATATTTGGAAGTAATTTTAAATTTACCCTAAAGCTGTGAGAATAAGAATAGTACTTAGAACACCTACCATTTACCCAAATTCCTCTATTATTAATATGCCCCTTATTTGCTTAATAAGTCCATTTATCCATCTATCTAGTTGTGATATTTTTTCTAAACATCTTGGGAGAAAGTTTTCTGTGGCCAAGTATTTCATTGTGCATGTCCTGAGAATAAGAATGTTCTCTTATATGATCATGTTACGTTTATCATTGTAAGTAAATTGAACACTGATGACTCTACTTTTTCTAATCTGCCATTCATTTTTCATTTCTGCCCATGGACCCATTACTTCCCTGTACAGCAGAATTTTCCCCTCCATTTTGAGCTCCTGAATCAGAATCTACAGATCCCTCCAACTGGGACTGTATATTGCATTTTATTGCCATATTTCTTTAGGATCCTTTAATCTGGAATATTCCCACAGCTTTTACTTGTCTTTATGACACTGGCACTATGAAGAATACAGTCCACAATTTGAAAAACAGAACATCCTTCATTTTTGGTTCTTTTGTTCTTTTCTCATGACTAGAGTAAGGCATTTCAGTGTAGGATGCTTGTCTACTGATGGTGTCTTTCTCAGAGCAACCCCTGGGGAAGCTCACCGTGTCTGTCTTCCCCTCACGGGTGGTACTAATTCTACTATTCATTCCTTTTGCAATTAGTAAGCAGTCTGAGGGAGTCACTTTTCCATATTTTTATTGATGCATTATATTTTACTTAATGGTGGGATTTGTTGTTACATATTCAGATATGTGCACAATATAACAAGTTTAATTTGGTCGATATTGTTTCCCAGTGTTTCCCCTTTCCCTCCCCTCCTCCCTCCTCCTGGTCCCCTTTCTCAACTCTTCTGATATTCCTTCAGTTTTCATGAGATTCCCCCATCCCTTTCTTTCCCCTTTCTGTCTCTGGCTTCCATGTATGAGAGAAAACATACAACCCTTGACTTTCTGAGCTGGGCTTTATTTTGCTTAACATAATGCTCTTAAGTTCTATCCATTTTCCTGCAAATGATATAATTTCATTTTTCTTTGTGACTGAATAAAAAACCATTATATATATACTACATATATATACATGTATATATGTATGTATGTGTGTGTATGTGTATATATATATATATATATATATATATATGGAGAGAAAGAGACATGCATGTATACACACACACATACACCACATTTTTAAAAATTCATTCATCTATTGACGAATACCTAGGCTAGTTCTGTAGTTCAGCTCTTGTGAATTGTGCTGCTATAAACATGGGTATGCATGTATCACTGTAGCACGCTGACTTTAATTCTTTAGGATAAATACCCAGGAGGGATACAGATGGCCATATGGTGATTTCATTCCTAGTCTTTTGAGGAATGAAGGGCATGCAAAACTACTGTTCCTTATCAGAATTCCCCCTTATATTTAGTAGTCCAGTGATCCATCCTTGCCTAACCAGTACTTATACAATCATATTTGCACAAGGATGACCCTTAAATTAAGCTCCTCTGCCATCCTGCTCAGGGGCATGCAGCAGCCTGTTGCTAACAAGAACCTCCCCTGCCTGCATGTGGTCACTCATTCATCTGCTTGTCATCTTTCTGGACTCATGGATTCCAGACATGCCCAGATGTGGCCACTGGGTATCCAGTCTTTTTTTTAATTGCATGATGCATGTTGTTCAATGAATATTGGTATGTTGCTGAGTTTCTGGATTTTTTTTTTTTTTTTGCTTTTTGCTTTCTTTTTAAGAATGTGGGAGTTTGTTTTGGCCAGCAGTGAAATGATAGCGGGTCACCTTGGTGGTTTCAAGGTTTGTTTTAAGCTTTTTTATGGAGGATTTTGATAGCCTTTTCTCTGCRGCAGGTTTCTTTTGGGCTCTCCAATGGTCTGGGTATTTCACAGGGTCTCCCCTCACTGGCTGGTCAGAATTCTGATATCCCTCAGTTCTGTGTTCTGAATTTTTTCCTCTTACAGCTCCTCTGTGTTGCTTTGGCTAATTGAGGTTCCATTCTACATACAAACTCTTAGTATTCAACATTATTTAAAGGGGTCTGGTGTGCAGATTTCCAGATGTGGGATTTGTTGTTACATATTCAGATATGTGCACAATATAACAATTTAATTTGGTCAATGTTGTTTTCCTCTGTTTTTTCCCTGCAAAACCCTAGTATTCTTCCCCAAAWCCCACCTGGGCCAGCCCCTCCAAACTAAGACCTCCACCCCCTCCACTCAGCAGGATTTCCCCACTCTGCCTGGGCTCCCTCTGCCTAACAAGTGTCTCCAGGTCTTGGGAGTCCCCTGGTTTGCCTCTTTCTCCAGGCATCATGGACCTGTGCTTGCTGTTGGACAGCACCAAAAACCAGTTGTTCTATATATTTTGATCCACTTTCTAGGTGTTTCCTACAGGTAGAGGAGTTTGGTACCAATTACTCTGATACGGTCAAGGTGAAGTTCTTACTTAGGTCCCTCCTTCATAGAAGTTACATTTTTAAAAATTAATCAATTAAAAAACAGAGAACCCTTCCTCCTGGAACTTGTTTTACATTTTGTCTTTTGTTGTTCACTTGGACTTCAGGCCATTTGTAGATAAATCTGAAAATCCTCCTAGGAAACCAGGGCTGATTCTCCTTTTCGCACGTGTGTCCTAGGCATGTGCCCACAACACCACTGGGGACCACTGTGAGCAGTGCCTACCTGGCTTCTACGGGGTGCCTTCCCATGGGACTTCTGGGGACTGCCAGCCCTGTGCCTGCCCTCTCTCCACAGCCTCCAACAAGTAAGTTTCATGCACCCACTAGCAGGTCCTGCCCAGCGTGACCACTAAGATGTGTTCTGATGTCTTCAGAGCAAGACTGTGTGTAATTTGTGTGAATCTTGCTTAGCAGTGATTGATTCGGACTAGAGAGGGAGGGATGAATTATCTTCTTCAAAGAAAGTTTGACTTATTGAATTACACCAGAAAAGGTGTATGATAGCAAGGACCTGTGCATACTTTTTTTGTTCTTGGTCTTATGTTGGTCATTATTTCTCTTACAAAATGTACATCTTGTACCTACCCCTAGGCTAGCAGGTAAGAGGGGATTTTGAGATGATCCCTGGGTTTTTTGATATAATGATCAAAATTTGAAAATATGAGGCTGAGAGGTCTGAATGGATTAATTAATTAATTAATTAGTTCAACAAATATTTATTTAGCTCCTGCTGTGTACTGGGTATCACAGTAAGTAGCAGTAAGTTTGCTCTAAGTAGCAAACCATTCATTCATAGCTCCTGGTCCCAGGGAGTCAAGAGTAGTCAGTACTGTAGTGGTGGCCTGTCCACCAGACTGGGGGTGAGAGGGTAGAGGGAAAGCAGTGCTGAGCTTTTCTGGGCAGGTGTAGGGATGACTGAGGAGTGCTGCTCTCAGACCTGATGGAGGAGAAATTCAACAGGCGACACAGAAGAACATTCTAGGCAGGAGGACCAAGTGTGCCAAGGCATGGCAGGGTGAACATGAACATGTGCATCCTGTTTGAGTAATTGCAAATGAGCCTTGAGCAGAAAGCAGAGGGGGAGGTTAAGTAGACATATTCAGCATGGAGTTGTATGTCCTACTGGGACGTGCATATCCTTCAGACCCGTGGTTTGAAATCTTCTTTCTCTCTCTCACTTGTTTACCCATTAGTACTCTTCTTCCATCCACTCCTAATCTCACAGGGATTTTTTTTAACTCCAGTGTATAAAAAGATATTGTATTAGACTGTTTTCTATTGATATGATAAAGTACATGAAGCTGGGTAACTTATAAAGAAAAGAGGTTTATTTATCTTACTGGTCTGGAGATTCAAGGATCTGAAACTGGCTCCAGGTAAGCACTTGAGAGCATCACCCTTAGAGAGAKGGGAACCCCATGTACCAGCCCCATCTGAGCGGGCTTCCTGGAGGAAGCAGTGGCTGTGTCGGGAGATGGGGAGAAGAAAGTGCATTGGAGGCTGAAGGACAGGGGAGCAGGGAGCAGCAAGTGTCCCTTCCCCAGAACATGGGAGGAGGGCAGAGGAGGCCCACAGGGTGGGCTGGGTGGCAGAGGCCCTGAGTTCTAGGCTGAGGACTGAGAACATGTTGAAAGTTTGTAAGGACAGAAGTCGTGAAAAATCAGTATTATAAATATTTGGTAACTGGCAACATCCACTGGAAAAATTGCATTCATTTCTAACATTTTAACAGTTTCAGTCCCACCTGCCATCTCGAAGGAGACGAAGTCATCTGTGACCAGTGTGCTCCGGGTTACTCAGGAGCTTGGTGTGAGAGGTACTCTGTGTCCAGCACTCATATTATTTTCTAAATTCAATGTAAATTTTATGTGCTTATTTTTAACTTTTATTTTTTAAATTTTAATCAACACACAATAACTCTCCATATTCATTTTGTGTGCATAATGTGTTAAAGATCGGATTGTTTTTAAATATGTAGTTAGGTGTGGTTTTGGAGTTTTCATGTATAATGATTATTTCATTGAATTATAGAGAAAACCCGGTGTATCTGTTAAGAACATGAATGTTGAGACTTGCTGGGAGTTTTTAGAGGACAGTGTTCCACCTCCTGGTGTTCATCTGAGTTCACACCAAGAACAATAAGAAACAGCGAGGAGCCAGGACTCACAGTCCCCGTATTTGAATATCCAGATAATAGTAAAGGCATGAGGTGGTTTGATGTAAGAGTTGGCCTTCTGGTGCCTGAAAGCCAGTGTTTTTTCCCATGGGTTAAGTCTGAGTGCCCAACTCTGGCTCAGCCCATCCAGAGCTGAGTGGCATCYGCATTGGCCCTGGTGGCTTGGAGTTGGCCCTGGAGATGGTGCACGCCCACTGGATTTATGCCCCCTTTTGGACGTGCTCCCGTTCATCACCATGGGTGAAGACCATCTATAACTTTCTGAATGCGGAGTCACATTCTTTCCACAGTAAATCTCAGGGAAAAGAGCCAGTCTGATTTGTTAGCCATTCAGAAAGTCCCTGAAGAGTGGGGTGGCGTCTTGAGTAATTGCATTTATTTGATCCTGTTTTTCGTCTTGGATRCAGATGCGCCGATGGTTACTATGGAAACCCAACAGTACCCGGGGAATCCTGTGTACTGTGTGACTGCAATGGTAATGTCAACCCCTCTGAGCCTGGCCACTGTGACTCTGTCACCGGGGAATGCCTGAAGTGTGTGGGAAACACCGACGGCCCTCACTGCGAAAGGTGTGCAGATGGGTTCTACGGGGATGCTGTGACTGCCAAAAATTGCCAAGGTGAGTGCATGGGCTATGARTTCAGGGTCATTATTTATCACCTATGAATCCCCATCCATCTACATACATGTGACAGAAAGGGATCARCCCATGAGGTGACCTTATCTTGAATGGTGCTTGTTTTCATGCTGGGTCTCTGGTTGAACAACGATAGACTGGCAACCGATTTCTTCCCTCTCTTCTCTCCATTGGCTTGATCAGTTGCAGTCCATGAAGGTCAGTGTCCTGGAAAGCTTCCACCCTTCCCTTCAAGGAGAAGGTTTTGCTTTCCAAAGGGCAGCTCTGTTTGCAGTAATTGAAAGGAAAGAAGGGTGATGTCCAAAGCAATCAGGGATGTGGAGGACCATGGGGATGCATGAAGCAGGTGGAATTTCAAGACATAGAGTGATAAATGGTGAGGCTCTTAAGCCTGAAATTGCTAACACATGATGTTGGCACAGCTTGGTGGTCTGTACATAAACTACCTGACCCTCAGATTGCTTTGCTGAGTTCTGCTTGGAGCCTTGATGTTGTGAATCTTGTTGAACCTCACACTGAAGGTTGATTTTCATTTACCTGAGACGACCTAGCTCTAGCACCAATTAAGCCCTCGGAAGTTTTTTCCTCCCCTTTGGCACAGTCTTTAAGGAGTGAATGAATACAAATGGCAGTTATTAATTTTGATAATTTCATGTAAATCCTTCTCTTGCTCTGATATTGCAATATGGAGACACAAGAGGGTGCTAGTGATACAAAAAAAAATATTTCACAGGCATCCATTAAAAGATGGAAAATGTTTCACAGCCCTGGGGCCCATCCCACTTCAACAGTGTGGCCACTTTAATTGGAATTATAGGGAAAGAGACTTCAATGGATCACATTCTGCAGAAAGATCCAGTGAGATGAGGATTGAAATTGGCTSGCTGAATTTAGCACCTGGGACATCTCTAGAGAGTTTAGGAAGCAGAGCTTTAGCAGACTAGGGGCCAGGAGGACACAAAGCAAGAGTTTGGGTGGACAGATGTGCTAAGGGAAGGAAAAACAATAGGGATGCTGGGATATGTCCCCTCAGGTGGGGACATCAGGTGAGAGGCAAGAGGGAGGGTGTGTGTGCACATGTGTCTTATATTTGGTGGGAGACAGATGAATGTGTGCTGAGAAGTTAGTGGAATATTCAGGGACACAGCAGAAGGTCCCTGAAGGGCAGCAGTGAGTGGGGTCCCGGCATTTCGCTGGGTTCCTACAGTATTAACCCACTTACACCAGGGAAAATGGAGGGCCAGAGAGAGGCACCTCTGTGTGAGCAAGGCAGTGGTCTTCACGTATGGAAGCCAATTCCAGTGCCTTTCTCTGACCATCCCCAAGTTCCAGTGCCCCCCCCACCCCGCTGCTGCACGCTGCCTCACACTGTGCCTGCGCTTTCAGTTACCCTTCAAATTTTCCTTGACCTTTCCTACGTTGTGATACAGGTTGATTGTCCCTTATCTGAGATGCATGCCCAGATTTGTTCAGATTATGATTTTTTTTCAGATTTCAGAATATGCATACACATAACAACAATGTCCTGGGGAGGGGACCCAAGTTTACACATGAAATTCATTTACTTTTCATATGCACCTTACGTGCCCAGGCTGAAGGCAATTTTGTGCACCACTTTTAGTGTGCCTGTCTTTTGACAGCAACTTAGTATATGAGGTCAAGTGTGGAATTTTCCACTTGTGGCTTCATGCTGTTGCTCAAAAATGTTTGGATTTCGGAGCATTTCAGATTTTCAGATTAGGGATGTTCGACCTATGTCATATGGACAGATGTATATTTTCAGAGGCAAACATTCATAAACAGTGCCTTGAATATTTTTGTCAGGGAAAATATTACATATTATGAAAATTAAATAGTATGAAATATATATTAATGCCTGCCTTATAAGTATAAATTAAACATTTTTTGGACCTGTTAAATATCATCACTTTGAATAGCTGAGGGAATTCATAACTCTAAATGTTAATGCTGTAACCAGATAGAACTGAAATTCTATCATGAAACTACAAATGATTCAAGATTTTACAACAGGGAACGCTTCATTTAATTATGAAACATATTAATATATATGCTATTTATATTGCTTTAATTGAGCTTTAAAATATTACATATATGTATGATTGCAATGAGTGTAGATGGCTAAATTGATTGATGTCTCTATTGCATGTTTTAATAAAAATTCGCTGACATATATTAATACCTTGTTCAAAAATTACATGGCAAACTCATGAGATGGTTCAAGGTAGTTTGCTAATTATTATCTGAATAGCTTCAGTATTATTATCTGTTATTACTGAATGGCTTGAATATTCTTTTCTGATAGTTCTTTCCACTAAAACTGTTTTGGTTTACTCTACAAAAAAATGGTAAAATTTTATTAATCACAGAATAATACTTATAATATACATATGTCTTGTCATGCATACATTATATATGTTCATTTGTTTAGCTTCACGATTGGGTACGTTGAGTGTTTAACATTTTTTCCTTTAGACATTGAAGGAACTGACTATAACTATAACCATTAAATGACCATTAATATGTCATGTGTGTGTATGTGTTAGCCTGTGATTGCCATGAGAAAGGTTCCCTTTCTGATGTGTGCCATCTTGAGACTGGACTCTGTGACTGCAAACCCCACGTGATCGGACAGCAGTGTGACCAGTGCCTGGTAAGATGTTTATGCTCATTGCATGCAATTCAAGTATTGGTCAGTGATATGCAATTGACACCTTGACCTGGGTTCAAAGGAAAAATTGAATTCATGGTAGTTGGAAAAGAGCTCAAGCCCTAGGCATGGCTGGCCCATCCTGTACCTCACTATCTAGAGGGCACGTATCCACTGTGCAGAGGAGTAGAATCAAGTCATGAATACTTTATGATCCTATGGAGCAGCCTGTGTGTGATTTGGAAAACCTTCTAGAGTGTATATTGGCTTACTAAACCATGTATTGGCTTGTGTGGTTCTTCCCCTTTTGTGACGTAGCCAGGCTATTATGGGCTGGACACAGGACTTGGCTGCTTACCCTGTAACTGCAGCACGGCAGGCTCCATGTCGGACGAATGCACAGAGGAAGGACAGTGTTACTGCATTCCAGGTGTGACTGGGAAAAGGTGCGACAGGTGTTCACATGGCTTCTATGCCTACCAGGATGGTGGCTGCACACGTAAGCTCTTGAGTTTCTTGTTTGAGACTTTACAGTGACTCCTTGGCACCTTCCTTTACTTTGGACTAATTTTTATGACATTTCTTTATTTTTTCTCTTCTTTACACATACAGGTTTTCATGTTTTTTTTTTTTTTTTTTCTGTTTCTGATCTCTCTCTATATATAAGCTTGAAGTTCGGTTCGGGCTCTGCTGCCTACTAATTATGTGAGCTTGGATGAATTACTTAATTTCCCTTAGCCTTAGTTTCCTCATCTGTAAACTGGAGAGGCTAATTGTCATCTAAACCAAATAGTTTTTATAATAATTGTGTACAAAGTCCTTGACATGGAATTTGGCACATAATAAATGTTCAATTACATTAGGTCTRTTTGTTCTTCCACCCACGGTGGTCTTTTTTAGGCTTTTCCCTATTTTTTGTACTCTGTCCCGTGACCTTTTGTCCAAAAGCATCTCCTGACCTAGAGGAACCTGCATGAGACATGGGGAGGAGAAGTCTCTGAAACCGTGAGGTCTTTGAGAAACTAGAAGAATTATTCAGATTATTAATAAAAGGGACATAACTTGTAAAATCAACTCCTACCCCTTTAATTCCATCGATCATCCAGACCCGTAATGATGTTTGTCTTTATTTCAGCCTGTGACTGTGCTCATACTCAGAATAATTGTGACCCTGAATCTGGAAAGTGCATCTGCCCTCCTCATACTTGGGGTCTGGAATGTGAAAAATGTGARGAAGGGTACTGGGGTTTGGACCCGGAGCATGGGTGCCAGGTGGGTGCAGACATATTTCTGAGAGTCCCTAGGCTATGGCAAGTTTTGTTCCATCTCTTTTATTTATTTGGTTGATATAATAACTCAGTGCAGCTGTGTTCATGTTGTCCCAGCTACTTGAGAGGCTGAGATGGGAGGATCTCTTGAGTTCAGGAGTTTAAGGCCAGTCTGGGTAACATAATGAGACCTGTCTTAAATAAATAAGAAAAAATTAGCACAGATTATTGGAATAAATATGGAGAATGCAACACTCTTCAAATCCCTTATGTGGAGTTTTCTGCAGGAGCCCAGTTGCAAAATTGATGGCTAGAAAAAATCCCAAAATGTTTTTAGTGCCCTTTAAATATATTCTTCAACGTATACAATTTTCCAAGAGAAAGTCATAAATCAGTTTATTGGGGGATTATGTCCAATCTTTGAGAGCTCTAGTTTTCCATGAATAACTTCCCTTGGTTAGATTTGGGGATAATTTGTTTTGACAATGGGAAAATTACGTGACCTCTAAAATAACTTTGCTAGATTGTTTGGAACCTATCGGATTTAATTTTAGTTCAGTTTTGGCCTAGTGTGCAACTGTCATTAAGATGCACAAAGGAATCCAGGCACCGTGGCACATGCCTGTAATCCCAGCTACTCCAGAGGCTGAGACGGGAGGATCGCAAGTTCAAAGCTTCAGCAATTTAGCCAGGCCCTACTTAACTTTTAGCAAGACCCTGTCTCAAAAAAAAAAAAAAAATGGATAAATAATCCTACAATACAGTCCCTTTTGCCTTTTAGCAGATGGTAAAGTGGCTCCATAGAGCACTAGTGAGAGAGATCAATTCATTTCTATAATTTTCATATATTTGATATTTTTAAAAATCCAAATATGTGTATTGAATAGCATATGTGTATCTTATGTATTTTTTAAATGTATATTTTATAACATAAAATCTGCCTCTTTAGTTAATTTTAGTCTCTCTCTCTCTCTCTCTCTCTCTCTCTCTCTCTCTTTCTCTCAGGCCTGCAATTGCAGTCATGAGGGGTCAGCCAATCCCCAGTGTGACATGCTTTCTGGTCACTGCCAATGCAAGCAGGAATTTGGTGGGAAGAGGTGCGATCAGTGTTCCTTGGGTTACAGAGACTTTCCTGACTGTGTTCCCTGTGACTGCGACCTGAGGGGGACACTGGTGGACACCTGTGACCTGGAACGGGGTCTCTGTAGCTGTGCAGAGGAAACCGGCACCTGCTCTTGCAAGGTATTTGCCATCCACCCTCCACTTCCTTCCTCCCCCCTCATCAGTATGACTCTTAGGTGTTAGACTGTATAAATAAGCAGCTAGATTTTAAACACTTCCTCTAATGGTTTTACTGTCTTTCTATATCTGAGTTTTAAGTCTACATATGTTTTTCTAAAATGATGGGAAATTATCAAAATGGAACTTCTGCCATTTATTACAAGCATCAAGTGATGGGACCACTTTGAAAAACAATTAGTTTCCTCACACATGTTCCAGTGGGCTGAGTGGCCAGTCTATCTTGAATCTACAGGCAAAATAGCTAACAGGTTTTGAGAAGATTTGTGATCCTATAGCTGTGAAGTAGTATTCATGCTCTTGTGTGTGCTGGTCAGACCAAAGGAAATTTATGTGTGTTGTAAACTCTGAAGACTTCAATGCCATTTTTGATCTTGTGTGTGTCCCTTGGTTTTCCCAAAGTGCTTTGTTACTAGGAAGCCCTTGTCACCTTCTCTGGTCYTTATACAAGGAGGTGAAATGAAAGAGGGTAAAGGATCAACTTTGGCAAGGGTCAAGGAGACACTCAAAACTTACTGTCATAAGTTTTACCCTTTGACATCAGAATTCTGGGATGCTAATTCTGAAGACGACGAAGGGGAATGTCATGTACCACATGGTGGGAATCAGGGGAGCATCAGTATTTGCCTTGCCACATCTTAAGACAAGTGTTCTCATTATAGATGATCAGAACAGCAGGGGTGTGCCTTAGCAACCACCCAGTCAGGCTCCCAGAATCACCTGGGGTCTCAGGGTGKATTCTAAAAGCATCCCAGGAGATGCTCATCAGAGACTCTCTGTTCTCAAAGTCTTCCTCGATGATTCTGAACATCAGCTGTGTTTGGGAATCACTGAGTCTTTGTGAGAATTGGGCCTACAGAGGTCAATTAGGTACCTCGCCTGASAAAGCAGCAAGTTCAGTGATGCTTGTGGATCTAAGATTATTTTTGTATTTTATTTGTGTGTGCAGAAACCATATTTCCTCTTTTCAGGCATTAATAAGTCCACTGTCTGTTCCCTTTAGGAAAACGTGTTTGGCCTCCAATGCAGCAAGTGTCGAGTTGGCACCTTTGCCCTGCGTGCAGACAACCCTCTGGGATGCAGCCCCTGCTTCTGCTTTGGGCTGTCGCACCTCTGCTCGGAGTTGGAGGGATAYGTGAGGACCCGAGTAAGTCACACAGAGAGATGTGGGAGTGGGGCAGGGGTCAAGGAGACACTCAAAACTCACTGTCGTTAAGTTTTGCCCTTATGACATCAGAATTCTGGGATGCTAATTTGGGTTAGTATAGGAGTCAGAGCTYCCCTTCTGCTGTACAGGGAAACAGATGGAGCTTTCAGAGTTGCACCTTAGCTGATGTCAGACTCCAGGTGGAGAGAAGATAGTAATCCCAACAGTCTCCTTCGTGTGATTGAACATTGCCCGAGGGTAGCAATAGCTTGACCCCTATAGACAGTAACTTAAGTCCCTTGCAGTTTSATTTTTAATCCAGATGTTTTGTTGAAAGGAAAAGCCCACACTGTTCCTGTTTTAATCGTGAAGCTGTTCTGCCRGAGAGGCAGGGGTGGAATCTGACAGATCACACCTGAGCACTTGATTCACCATCTGAAGTACGTTTTCTTCTTTCCATGACTAGGTGACGCTGGACTCCAAACAGCCTCTTCTGCGTGTGGTCTCTCAGAGCAACCTGAAGGGCACCAGTGAGGGGGTGTACTACCAGGCCCCCGACATCTTGCTGGATGCCACCACTGTCCGTCAGCATGTCCACGGGGAGCCATTTTACTGGAGGCTGCCAGAACAGTTCCAGGGAGACCAGGTAAGGCACCCACCCAACCTAGAATTGGTGCCCCTCTCCCTGAGGTGGGGGTTATGGATACAATTCAAAATCCCATCCGGCATTTGTTTTTGGGGGGATTGGCTAACTTCACTTAGCATTATCTTCTCTGACACCATCCATTTACCTGCAAATGCCATGCTTTTATTCTCTTTTATTGCTGAGTAATATTCCATTCTTAGAATGTTTTCTCTGATATAAGGAGGCTGATTCTTAGTGGGTAGGGAGGGGGAGCATGGGAGGAATAGATGAACTCCAGATAGGGCAGAGGGGTAAGAGCGAAAGGGAGGGGACAGGGGGTTAGCAGGGATGGTGGAATGTGATGGACATCATCATCCAATGTACGTGTACRAAGACACGAGTTGGTGTCAACATACTTTATATACAACCAGAGATATGAAAAATTGTGCTGTATATGTGTAATAAGAACTGTATTGCATTCCGCTGTCATTTATTTAAAAGAAAAAAAAACAATTCAGAATCACAGTAGTCTGCACAGGTCTGTCATTAAAAGATGGGATTACTGGGCTGGAACTGTGGCTCAGTGGTAGAGCACTTGCCTAGCACATGTGAGGCACTGGGTTTGATTCTCAGCACTGCATATAAATAAATAAAATAAAGGTCCATCAACAACTAAAAAAGTATTTAAAAATAAAAGATGTGATTATTAAATCCCTTTTCTAAGAGGCGATAAGAGGTGTTAATCGTTTGCAAAAGTCCCCACAAATAGGGACTTTTCAAGTCTAATTTTATTTTTATTTTACTGTTTGCTTAAGCAGTCCTTCAACAGTCATATATTGTATTTACAAATATCAGCTCAATACCAAGACATCATCACTCATTTTGGGGGGAAAATCCATATAAAATAGTTATGAAAGACATTGTTTGCATTTTTTTTTTGCTTATCTTATTCACACATTACAGTCTATGTGTGAATTCATTCTGACCTTTAATATTTGCAAATATATATTCACTGCTTCTGTAGAGATCATTTTTAATCCAAGGGAGCTTGAAAATAATTAGAATTGTTATTGCACTGATTTATTTTGGAGCCCACTTTGTTGGAATCATCAAGTAGAACTAAACAATCTATAATTGAGTAGAATTAGAATTTAGCAAATTCCAGACAAGACATTTCATATGTGAAACATATTTTTAAGATGCAAGATTTCTTTCATATGGTGGCAGATTTACAACAAAATGTTTTAAACCAAGGCTGCAATCAGAAAGATAAACAATAATTTGTTATTCAATAGCTCCTGGCGTATGGTGGCAAACTAAAGTACACCATGGCCTTCTATTCCTCTGATGGCATCGGCACCTCCAATTATGAGCCTCAAATTCTCATCAAAGGAGGTCGAACCAGAAAGCAAGTCATTTACATGGATGCACCAGCACCAGAGAATGGCGTGAGACAGGACCAGGAAGTGGAAATGAAAGAGGTGACTATGATCTTTTAATATATGTTCCTTCAAGGTGTGATCTTTGCTATCTGTGTAATGAAAACTTGAAGTTACTAACGAGAAAATGAGAAATAAGACCTTGGTATTAAACTCCCCATGGGTTTAGCCAGACTTCTAAAACCTATTCCTATTTCATACCCTCAGGAAAGATGCAGTAGTCTTTGTTTGTCCCACATTTTCCTTTACCCATGGTTAACTGAGCTAYAGAAATACTAGATGKAAAATTCCAGAAATAAACAGTTCCTAAGTATAAATTGCACAGTTTTAGGGGTAGCATGACATAATCTCACACCATCCTGCTCTGTCCTGCCCAGGATGCCACTCATCCTGTAGGCCAATGTGTCCACAYTGTGTATGCTACCTGCCCATTAGTCACTTAGAAACAGGTTGTCAGACCAACTGTCACAGTATCACTGATTGTGTTCAGTTGACTCTTATTGTACTTAATAACRACCCCCAATGCACAAAAGTAGTGATTCTGGCAATTTTATTACAATATATTGTTATAACTGTATTATTTTATTATTGTTGATGTTAATCTCTGTGCATAATTTATAAATTGAACATTGTCCTAGGTATGTGTATACAGGAAAAAACATAGTATGTATGGGATTCAGTATGACATGAGGTATCCAATATTCACTGGGTGATTCTTGCAACAAGCCCCTAGGGATAAAGGGGTATTTACTGTATTTCTATTAAATTAGTGAGAATTGCACCTTAAATCCTTTATCTTGGTGCACTGATTTCCATATGTATAGTTATGATGGTACAGAAATCTTTGGACTTTACTAGAATTCAGGTAGTGTCTCTTTATTCCTCCAGCACATGTTCATTGAACTTTCACCGTGTGCCCAGCACTATCTTTGGTGATGTCTSTCTATTGAAAATACTGCCACTATACCTGCCCTGGTGGAGGTTACAGATCTTTGTCAATTAAACTTAATGACATGCCCAGAACAGAGCTCATTTATAAAGAAATTTATCAAATTTATATTTTCTCTATAAGGTCATTTGCCTGTGAGAATTTATACTCTTAATTTAATTGAACCTATTCTTGTCCACAGAACTTTTGGAAATATTTTAACTCTGTTTCTGAAAAACCAGTCACACATCYGGATTTTATGTCCATTCTTAGCAATATTGAGTATATCCTCATCAAGGCATCCTATGGTCAAGGACTACAGCAAAGCAGGTACACAGAAGCTTCTAGAACTTCAAACGTTTTTTGATTTGATGTTGAACTGAAAGCATTGGACTCACCTTACTCCCACTACATATATTATTAATATATGTATCTCTGTTCCTTATTCAAACTTTGCTAAATATTGATATCCTTGTGGAATAGGATGTGTGAATTACAAATTATCTACCGGCCATGCTATGTATATATAAAATATAAGCGCATCATGGAGGAATCTTAGATGAAGATGAAATGAAAAAAAAAAGTACTATTTTCTGCCCTTGAATGCTGCACTACCCATTTCTTCTGACAATGTATAAAGAATATCGTCACCTACTCATTTAATATGTTAGCCTGTAAGAAACCCATTAAGTCTTGCCAAACCAGTACTTAAGTTGTCTTTCAAGTACACTTTCTGTAACATTATATTCAAGTTCTACAATGTTGGCTGAGGGTCTTTGTTGTGTGAGRAAATTGCTATTGCACTTTAAGGCGTTTTATTTATAATCATGAGAAGGAACTACTTCAAACTGGGAGGAAATCGTTGGTTTAATATATATGCAAATGTTAAGTCACATTCAGTGCTTCTAGGAAGTTTTTCAAGTGTTAACATCTCCTCGCTCTCTCTTCTTCACACCGGTTGCACAGAATCTCAAACATTTCAATGGAGGTTGGCACAAAGGCTACAGAGCTGCACCCTGAGGGAGAGGTGGCTTCCCTGTTAGAGAATTGTCTCTGTCCCCCGGGCACAGCTGGATTCTCATGTCAGGTAGGGAGACCGATTGAAAGCTGTTCCCTGGTTTTGAATTGAATTGTGCTTGTTTACAGCAACTGAAAATGTGAAAAAGAACTCATGTATATTCATGATGATCATTTTTTTCTTGAATTAAAATTTTTTTCTAAATTCTGTTCCAACCTATATTACATCAGATTTAYCATCTTAACCATTCTTAAGTATAGGCAGAGATTAGTAGTGTTAAGTACATGCACAGTAGTCCATGTACAGTAGTGTTAAGTACATTGGTTTAACCAATGTCCAGAACACTTTTCATATTGCACATCTGGAACCCTGCACCCATTCAACAACCACCCATCCCCCTCTCCCCACCCCTACGGCCACCATTCTACTGTCTCCATGAACTTGAGCACTATAGGTTCCCCATATAAGTGGAATTGCACAGTGTTTAAACTTTTATGACTGGCTCATTTTACTTTGCAGAATGTCCTCCAGGTTCATCCATACTCTAGCCTGTGTCAGAATTTCTTTCCTTTTTAAGGCTGAATGCTACTCTACTGTATGGCTATACTTATTTTAGCTACTAAGTCTTCTATGGGCATTTGRGTTTTTTCCTTCTTTTGGCTATCGTAAACAATACTGCTGTGAAAAGGGGTGTACAGATATCTCTTTAAGTTCCTGCATTCAGTTCTTTTGCATACATAGCCAGAAGTGGAATGGCCAGATCATATGGGATTGTGGTTTTGAAGGAACCTCCATACCGTTTTGTACAGCAGCTGCACCATGTTGTATTCCCTCCAGTGAAGCACATGGGTTGCAATTTCTTCACATCCTCACCAACACTTGTTCTTTTCTGTTATTTTAATAGGAGGCACCCTCATGGGTGTGAGATGGTGTTTCGGTGGTTTTGATTTGCATTTCCCTCATGACAGGGATGTTAAATGTTTTATGTGCTTGTGGGCCACTTGTGTGTCTTCACTGGAGAAATGTGTTTAAGTCCTTTGCCCAATTTTTAATCAGATTGTTTTTTCTTCCCCCTGCCCTTTTGTATTCCTTCAGGACTGTGCCCCTGGGTACTACAGAGGGAAGCTTCCAGAAGGCAGCGGCAGGGGACCCCGCCCCCTGCTTGCTCCTTGTCTGCCCTGCAACTGCAATAACCACAGTGAGACTTGTGACCCCGAAACTGGGAAGTGCCTGGTATGCTTGTTTTGTGGGTGTTTGCCTAAAGTTTAGAACTAGCACAGGCACTGGGTGTTTAAATTCCTGCTCTGTAGTCATACCAGTTCCTTGGTTCAGTGAGAGGTAAATTTACCGAAATACAACATGTATTTCCTTCAGAAAGGCTTAACTCGGTGATCTGACAGTGCCAGTAGAAATTCTTTTATAAATCTTCCTCCCTCAATGAATTTGTTCATGGGCATCAGTTGGGAGTTAGTTGAATGTGTCAGGCTTTGGTTTTTTTGTATGTGCATGTGTGTGTGTGTGCATGCATATCTGTGTGTGTGTGTGCATGCGTGTGTGTGTGTGTGTGTGTGTGTGTGTGTGTGTTGTTAAGGATTGAACCCGGGGCTTTGTGCATGCAAGGCAAGCACTCTACCAAATGTGTCAGTTTTTACATGCAGTACTGGTAACCATCGTCAAAGTGGATGAGAACTTTATGTCATAGATTTTAAAATAAGTTAGTGCCTGTGTTGACAGTGTTTCTCTGGGTAAAGTAACGCCCTCTGCTTACATCTTTAAAAATGCACATTCTATTGGGGGATGATAATACAATGAATTATTCATGTCTTAGTACACTTTTGCTTCTTGGTCACCTTCCCCGAGACCAAGATTGATCTTGGAGACATGAAGTGAACTCTGTCCATTGCAAATGACAAAGTGACCCAGACAGAAGTTTTGTGGCCCTGACTGAGGGAAGATTCTTCTGTCTGATTTTGCATAGGCCAACCAGGACTCGCTGATAACATAAAATAATCTGGTATTTGTTCCCTGCTCCTGAAATCTCATCTCTCACAGTAATTCCTATGGGAAACATCAGTGACTTGTATGAACTGTGCTAAAACTGACTTTCCCTGGTTAGAATATCCTTAAATAAGGGAAGTAAACTGCCCACCAAGAAAGACACCCCTGAAACCCTAGAGATCCGGGTTATGGCCTGACCACAAGAAGACATAAGGAACCAAACAGGAATTAGAGCTGTGCATCCCTCCTAGCCTTCAGCCACACTCGACTGTCGTCCTCCTCTGATCAGAAGTGTCCTTTGTATAGAATTTAAAGGAGGTTTYCAGGGCTGAGGAGGCAGCTCAGTGCTAGAGCTTTTGCTTAGCATGCATGAGGCCCTGGATTTAACCCCAGTACTGCAAGCAAGCAAATAAATAAAGGCAATTTCCACTGGCCAAAGAAGTTCTGCATGGTTTTCCTCAGTGAAGAAGACACCTGTGAACCTTTGCTGACTCCATTATATAAGAAAGGATAAAAGTTATTTCCATTACACAAGGACTTAATGAAGATGCAGATAACTCCAACGCTGTTAAAAATTTTTGTTCACTCTAATCAGCTCATGCTCTCGGGCAAAAGCAAAAACCTGATAGAGAAAATGGAAAGATCTCATTTAAGGGTTTACAGAGAATTGATTTCAGACAAATAGAGTGAGATGTAATTAGCTGGGAAGTTTCCTTGGCCAATTATGAGGAGAGAGGTCACATACAGAAAGAAGTTGATCAGTTCTTTGATGCTTTATCTTTCCATGATACAGCTAACAAGATTAGGTATTCCTAGGACACTCAATTATTACTCTGCTGCTGCTGGCCCAAGTCTACCAGAACACAGTTATACGATCACCTGCTGATCTGTTGATTTGTAAAATAGAAATAAATAACTCAGCCACTTCACCCAGTATGAAAAAGATCACCTTAGACCATGGCAAAAATCTCCCTGGGGTAAATAGTGACCGATAGCTGTCCAGGGTAGTGGTTTCTGAAGAGGCCACCTGCAAATCATAAGACATCTCACTTGGATCTGTAAGTCGAATGGTACAGTCCACGACAATGGCTATTCCTACTGTCAGAGAACTGGATGCAGATTCTAAGTTTAGAATATGAATATACTCTTTGGAGCCATTGAGATAAACCAGTAGTTCTGATTGAATCTTGAAGAGTGGCATTATCTTATCAAAGAACTTGCAAAACTACTTCATCAATCCCTCTCTCATGTGCCAAAGATCGCAAATCTTCAGCCCTCCAGGTTATATCCCCCCTGTTTGTGTACCTGTGGTCATATGGTGTGGCTGTGGGTCCATTCACCATCCTGAGACACGTGTGTCATCATCTTCAATATCGTGCCCAGAGCCTTTCCCCTTTCACCAGGACCCAAGGGAGAGTGGGGGCATCCCTTTCTAACTTGAGGAGCTGTGTCTCCACAGCACAACCTCTGAGTTTTGCCTGCCTGGTTGTGTTGATAACACACTAAGACTGTATATTCTTCCAACTGATAGAGCTCTAGTCAATTCATTCTTTTTCTTTGAGCTGGGTACCTTTCTTTTCCTCCTTACTCTTTACCTTGTCAGATTTCTTTTGTGGTTTTATGTAATAATCCACTTCCCTTTAGTGMAATCTCCTGARCACTGGTTCTGAACCATCTGTGTGGCATCAACTCCATGGATCTGATTTTATCATCCAATATGTAGGATTTTCCCCGCTGCTTCATGTCAGTAGGCCTTTGGTTATCAAAAAAGTGAATGATAGAAGTGGGGCCTGGAAAGGGGAGACCAAGGACCAGGGAGATACCTGAGGAGCCCCTCTCCACTAACCACTTTGAGGAGACACATCTAAATCTTTTTACATCACTCAAAAATGGCAGGTACATCTCTGCATCTCCACAGCATCTCACATTTCCCACTTCCATTCTCTTTAACAGATCCTTATTTCTCTCCTGTTCTTTGGGGCGGCTTGTCTTTGATTCTCTAGGGTCTTGAAGATCAGGTAGCCTTTGTTAGGGAAAGTTTTTACATTGAAGTTGATGTTGACAATGAAAAATCTGAGAAACTACTTCTGCCTTCTCTTCCCACCTAATATTTATTCCATGTCAGCTTTATACTATTTGGGCAAAACAAGTATTTAGCAATTTACTTTTTAAGGAGAAGGTCGCAAATTTTATTTCTGAAAAGAGATTCCTCTGAGGAGCCAAGAAAAAATTGATTTTTACCAGGTGAAATATTAAGGCTTTAAAATGAAAAATGGTGATTTTTTTAAAAAAGAGGCTTTAAAAATAGTTTTTCAAACACTTAAAATTTTTCTTTCTTCATCCTCTCTTGGAATCAGTCCTCCAGTTGGCTCAAGGGCTCCCTCTTTTCTATTCTTTCCATCTCACCTGCATCAGACATGAGACCCTTTCTACAGGAGCTCAGTAAACACTGTCAAATTGAGCAAAGGCAGATTCTAAATTGGAATAGAGTAACAAGAATCACTGCTCTTTTAGCTTAAAAAACCATGCATTCTTTACAAAAAAAAAAATGGGACCATAGTCAACTGGTGACACAAAATCTAACTGGAATTTCCTTTCCTTATTATAAGAATCTGTTGGTGGTGCTCTGAGACCATAAGTTCTTCTTCAGGGTCTGTTTCCTAAACCGTCTGTGTGTTCACTTCTGCTCTTTTAACTCCCTGCCTGCCATCATTGAACCCCAGCTGGTGCTTGCAATCATTTTTATTTTAGGTCACTGTATATTTTAGATCCGCATTTCAAGATTCTGAAAGCCGGCTGCTTTTAGGGGTCCTGTRTCTCTTTTTACGTTGGAAAAAATGTCCTAGTAATTTCTAGGCTTTATTGGATGAATACAGTCTTATGACGAATGAAAGCCACAGAGCTGGAAAAATTTCCAGGATTTAAAACAGAGGAAGAAAAATGCTCTCCCATCCTTAGAAATTCAAGAACCACCACAACCAAAGCCTAACTGATGTGAAACAGGTAGCACCTGGTTGTCACCTGATCAGGATGGTTTTTAACCATCTTCCATTGTTTCCTTCTCCTTCTGAAACATGGAACTCCAGAACTGCCATGATAATACAGCTGGTGACCACTGTGACCTGTGCGCTCCTGGCTACTATGGAAAGGTGACTGGCTCCGCCGAGGACTGTTCTCCGTGCACCTGTCCTCACCCCTACCCTTCCAGGTGAGCTCTGCTGTGCTGTGCGGCACACCTGCTCAGCCACAGTTAGTTTTGCTTCCATTCTTGGCCTCACTTCTCTGTCTCTGAGTGGTCTACAGCCATGGAGAATTCCGTGTTTGGAGATAAACATTTTTTTTAAAGTGTTCATTCTCATAAATATTTGCAGAGAATCTTTTCAAAAGCAAAGCATCTGTGTTGATCTTGGGTGTTAGACTGGAACGAATTGAAGAAAGGACTTTTAAGTTTGATGATTTTTTTTTTAAAGACTAATTTTGGCCCCCAGCTGTATATCTATTCTGCATCGAGATGAGTTGTTATTAATTTTATAAATAATGGCCCATTCCAGAAGAATCCAATTCCTACTTAATTTGGAAAAGGAGAATTTATATATGCTGGTGCCTGTCAAAGTGCTGAAATGTTATCGAGTGATAAAATGGGGACTAGAGTCTGCCATGTACTCGTGATGAATTACTTGACTGCAGAAAAGAACCAGAGATTTGAAGTGGGAATGGATGTGCCAATGGCTCTTCTTTGTGTTTAAATGAAAATTATAATTCATTAATAATATTTTATTATCACTTAAGACTATTTGGCAAGGCACTGAACACAGAAAGATCAAATGCCACCTTTTGGTATACTAAAATGAAGTTTTCCTTTTAATGTTTGTTTGAACCTTCTTTTATTATCTCCAAGTAATTGATGTTTGCTGTGAGTTCCAATGAGGGGTACTACATACACTTCCCTTGTAAGTTACCAAGGATCCTAAAATTTGTTGTTGCTATAACTTGGGTTTTTTTTTAATTAAATCTGTACATAAATTTTGGTTCATCAACTCCATTTTTGCAGTCTGTGCTATAGAAATACTTGAATACATGTAGAAAGATGGTTGTATTTTAGCATTGCTCACGAGAAATTGGGGGAAAACTGAAATACCTACAAGATTGATTATATACACTGTGATATATTCCTGAAGTGGAATATCATACAAACACAGAGGGAAAAAAATGAAGTTTATTTGTAAGTAAAGAATTGGCACAGTGGGGGCTGGGGCTGTAGCTCAGTGGTGGGTTTGATCCTCAGCACCACATAAAAATAAATAAATAAAGATGTTGTGTTCATGTACAACGGAGGAGGAGATGGAGGAGGAGAAGTTGGAGGAGGAGGAAGAGGAGGAAGAGATTGAGGAGGAGATGGAGGAGGAGGAGGAAAAGGAGGAAGAGATGGAGGAGGAGGAAGAGGAGGAGGAGA